TGTTAAGAAATATTTGTTAATTAAATCAATTTCTTTTTAATACAAAATTTATTCTTCTAAACAGTTTCTAGATAAAGTTTCTCAACTTTTGTCTCTATTATTTGATAATTCTTAAGATAATTTTATCTTCTTTTGTTAGTACTGATCAATAAGTACACATTTTTTTTATTTAACCATACTTTATATTAAAACTAAGAACTCATTTCACATAGAATTTAAATATTTTATTTTAATTTTTTTACTCATATTAATACTATAACTACTCATAGTAATATCAGAGCCGAACCTGTTGACCATCAATAGTCCAGAGTGTGTGAATTAAATAAGATCCTCTTTGAAACAAACCTTCCAACTGTATTATCACACTGATTATACCCATCTAATCAAATAACTGAAGAATCAAAAAAAAATTGTATTGATTTTAAAGATAAGTTTATTTGATTTTCTTTGCAATTTTTAGTCAATCTGCCCCCAGATGATGCATATGGAAATCTTACTAGCGCGACTATTTTACCACCTACGACGTATATTGATAGTACTATCTCCATTTCTACTAGTACTTCAGATCTTATCGGTATTATAAGTACTTCAACCAGTGATAGTACCACAACAACTACTACAAGTACTGACAGCACGTCAACAACAACATCAACTGCAACAACATCAACAACAACATCAACATCAACATCAACTACGACAACATCAACATCAACAACATCAACATCAACTACGACAACATCAACATCAACAACAATAAATCCATGTGAGTAAGAAAATATGTTGTTCAGTTTCGATGAACTGTTCATTGAAATCATTAGTTTTAATAGTTTACGGAAATCCTTGACGAAATTAGCTTCGCGTTATTTTCGAATAGCAATCTAACGAATTTTATGTTAAAAGAGATTGAGAAAATAGCATTCCTTGAGTTTATTGAAATTTGACATTTTTGTCTATGAAAGATGTCAGAAGAGTTACCTCTTCTTAGTTTGGACATACAGAGCTAGAAAGTGACATAAAAGATATTTCTTGTCGTTCACTGCCGATGTATCGTCATCGTTATCATACTGTTTTTCTTCGCATTACGGTAGAATTTATAGGTGAAATGAATACCTAAGCTTTGACTAAAAATTTTGCTTCTGAAAAGACTTTGTAACCATCAGAATATCTGAAATATGTCAGTCAAAAAAGGAATAACTTCTTGTTCAAAACTAACGATATCCTCAAAAAACTATATATGGTCTAGGTCTATTGTAAATTAGATGTCTGAAAAAAGAATTATCTTCTTTGACTTGAGTTTTAAAATGTTTCCATGTTCATGACGACTTTTTATGAGTAAAGTTTCCAAATAAAAACTTGTATGTTTAGTTTTGTTATAAATATCATGAGAACAGTAAGAAATTCTGTCTAACAGTCGTCACTCAGTCCGACGTTAAACGAAGATTAAATACTCTTTCTAGTCTAGCCAACTTATGACATCTGGTAGGATAGTAGAAAATACATGGTCCATGCTCGACCAAAAGCATTTTATTCTTTATTTATACAACATATCATTGTTGACACTACTAGCGTATAGGTTTTCTATATATATGATTACTGAAAATCTCATACGCAGGATATTACTTCGAACGGTTTTCTGATCAGCTTTCACACGTAGAACTAAAGAATCAAATCATAGAAGAATTCGTTTATGAGGAACTAATCCAATAAATATCAATCTCGATCGAATAAAAGAAATATTCATAAGTTTTAAGCTGGCGCGAGATAAATTGATGAAGTCGAATGTATATTTAAGATAATAAATAAACTATTTCTATACTTTTTCAGGTACATTAAATACTTACCGATGGAATACAACAGGTATTACTATACTGAATTCATCGCAAGTAGGATTTGTGGATGAGATACTTTTCGATTCAAGTGGTACAATGTATGTGGTGGATGAAACTAATAATGTTGTATGGAAATTATTGAAAAATACAACAACTCCGATCATTGTAGCTGGACAATTAGCATCAGCTGGTTCTAGTGCCAGTCTGTTGAATACTCCTTTGGATGTTTATATTGATTCAAATAACAACATGTATGTAAGCGATTGTTCCAATGACAGAATACAAAAATTTGTAAATGGATCAACTATTGGACAAACTTTTGCTGGAATAACTGCATCAGCTGGTGCAGCATTAAATCAATTGAATACCGCTCGACATTTTGCAGTTGACTCATCACAAACATATATGTACATTGCAGACTATGCTAATAATCGAATTATGCGTTATCCAATGAATTCAACAACAGGTACTAATGGAACAATCGTTGCTGGAGGTGCGGGTGCTGGAAATACGAGTACACAATTAAACAACCCTTGGGAAATTTACTATCAACCAACAATAAGTAATTATTTGTATATAACTAATTACGCTGGTCAGTCAGTGATGCGATGGATTCCAGGTGCTTCGTCTGGTGAGTTTATTGCTGGTACGCCAGGTGTATCAGGATCCACTGCTACAACTTTAAACAATCCCATAGCTATAAAACTTGATTCTTTTGTCAATATGTTTTTTGTTGAATATTCGAACCATCGAGTTCAAATGTTTTGTCAAAACAATCAAACTGCTGTAACAGTTGCTGGTACGGGCACTAGTGGTAGTAGTGCTACATAGCTTTACGCACCAAGAGGTGTCGCATTTGATTCATCGATGAACATGTATGTCAGTGATGCAGGAAACCATCGTGTTCAAAAATACTTAAAACTCTAAAGGGCATCGATAATGCTACTTTACATGACATTTATTTTATTTTTTATTCACATATTATATATTTGCTTCAATCTTCAAAGTTTTATTTACTATTAATTCAATATTTTTAAATTATAATCAAGTTATTGTTTATTTTATTCTCATTCATATCTTTATTGCTTTTCTGTCTCGTGATATTTTATGATGAAATAATAAAGCTTAGAAAATATAAAAAATGATTCAGTTTTCATTTGAATTTTGATTTATTTTAACTAACCTATTGAAAAGAACTAAAATGATTCCTTTTTTTTGTGAAAGATGATCTAAAAGGAGGGATGAGGTGTGTAGGTATAGAAAGTTGCACTCATCAACAAGACTTTTTATATAGGTTGTGACCGAGATTGTTATGAGAAAGTGGATATGATTAAGAAGATCTAATCACCTCTCACTAGGAAAACTGCGAAGTGGAGTTTTTTTAACTCCGATTCTAACTTTGACTCCGACAAACTCTGAAAGCTTTTTTTGTAGTGTAGCGAAGGTATGGGTGTGGGTAGGTATCGGCATTATATCTATCACATACTCATACCCACATCCACCCTTAAGATGATTCAATTAATTATGTTGTGATCAGATGTTTGGTTTGTTGAGCTCAGTTTTAATACTGTTCATTATAACTGTAGAGTTGTGTTTTGTGCGTGAATCTAGTTTATTTCAATAAAGAAAGAAATAAAGACGACGATATATATATATACGTGTTGGATATGCCCAAATGACATGAAGAAGAATCGATAGGAAAACACCTAACATCACACTTATCATTTTGTTAATTTTATTCGTTTTCTTCTTTTGAACGAAGAGCTCTTACTGCTATTATTCGACCTCTTGTTACAGAAGCTACAGGTCGACAAAGTATTTTTGTTTGAATGAATCGAATAAATTCTTGTCGAAATATCTGTGATGATATCGCAAAATTAGCAAATGTCAATGAGAATCCAAGATAAATCGGAACATATGTCATATTGCCGACAAACGATTCAACTGTACGACGAAGTGGTGATTTCACTGCATATATCGTGCTTGATCGATAAATAAGATAACATGGATTCGGTAAATTTAGAATGACAAAAAGACAAATTTGATTTGCTAACATCCTATGAAATTGAACATCTTTCTTTGACAATTTACCAGAATGAATAGATCGAGTTCTATCAGGTTGTAGACCTGGATTAATTCGTTTTCTAGTTTGATGAACATTGTTGAGGGTTAATAAGCCAAAGACAAGCATAAGACATGTAGGAAGAATACCACTATCAATTGATATATAAATACTAAAAAACATTCCATAAGCTCCCGATTGATAGTAACAGGTACCAGTGGTAATATCATAAAAAATAATTACTTGAATATACAAAATACACCAGAAGAAGATATTTCCGATGATAAGACGAAAAGCAATCTTTGATGAACTCCACTGACGACGAAGAGCATCACGAGAACTAGCGAAGTAACGATCAATCGACGCAAAAATGATGTTATAACGAGGAATGGCTATAAATAGATAAAATAAATAAGAACGAATTTTACAATACCAAAGAGAAGTATTAAGAGTTTGAATATTGTATCCATAGTGAATCATACGAGTGAGAAGAGAAAAATTAAAAGTGAAAAATTGTGAAAAACTTGAAGCAAGGAAATACATAGCACAAGGATTTTTGTGAAATGTTGGTTGATAGAAGACAATACAAGTTAACACCGATCCAATGTTGCCCATGATCATAATAAGACCAAGACCAAATTGTGAAATAGTTTTATTTAAAAGATCAATGATTGAAATCAAATAAGCCTGATTATCATAGATGTTGATGGTTGTATTATTCATTATTATGTTAGACATTGGTTTATTGAATCTACAAAAAAGAAAAGATACTATTTCAATATGTGTACTATTTGATCTGTCTTACAAGTTATGCTAACGATTTCTCTTTACATTCAAAATATATATTTTTTATACTAATAAATGCAATAGAGATTGCGTTGTTCTAACTATCATTATTTATCTTAAGATAAAATAGCTGTTTTATACCTATACCGAGATCCTAACGTATAAACATTCGATCGTCATACAGTTACACATCATATAGATGTCTGGTATGTTAGAGAATTAACTGAGAAAAAAAAATCTTTGACTGTGATCTATTCAATTTTTATTGATAACATCTCATATTTAATAATATTCCAGTGAGGCTTATTTAATGAGAGAAACAGCTAGATCTCGATGAAGATAGATGATTCTCTTTAAAAAACATGGTTATTATAGGATTCGAAATGACTTATATAGGTTATAAGGACAGAGATCATTACCAAGAGAGAGAGAGTAATTACATATGTTAAGAGAACACAGAATGAACTAGAATCAGTTAACGAGATACATTCAAGAGAGGAAACCAGAAAAATGATACACATATAAATATACGAAGAACGAAAGGAATACCGTAAATAAGATATAGAGGAACAGAAGAAGTATTATACTACCTAAGAGTTCCTATAATTGCTATTTGAATATGTAAAGTATTCGATTTCTAATTTGATGAATAATTTTGTTAATTTTCATCTATCTATCATTTTTTAACTATGAGTTATTTCGTTTAATAATATTTTGCTGAATTTTTTATTTTTACTGTAAACTAATCTGTATTCCATACTCAATTATATCAATCTTTATCTCATGATTTTTGCTTCTACCTTTAAATAAATCGATGGTTTTTGAAAAAATGAAATTCATTATTTTGAAACAACGTTGCAAGCATAGCGTAAAGTAAAATGCAAATAATTTATAAGTATCAACACAAGAAAAGATAGATGATCTTATTTTTTTCACTTTTGTTTCTGTCGTGATGAGATAATAAATGAAGAGTTTCTACCGTTTATCTAATCGTACAATTAAACGAAATACTTCCATAATTTTCTAGGCCTAATAAATAAACATGTAATTCAACTTCAGTTATTATTACAACAAATTTAACTGAATAGATTTTTGTATTTATAAGAGTTATATAATACAATATCCATAGTTGAATACTACAAATTTTTCCTGATTGAGTTCTATTCATATAAATGATTGAATTATGGTAACTCGATATGTCACACAACCGTTGTAATAAATGTATTAGTTTCTAGAATATGAGACTGAATTTATTAATCTTTCCATAAAATACAATATTCTCATTTATTACAATCATTTTTAAACCATCACATATCTTATTTTTCAACATACTTTTATTGATATAGTAAAAGTTTTTACGAACAGACAACAGAAGAACGAATTAGAACAAGAAAATGATACACGAACAACAAATATATTTAACTGTTAACGTATGTTGGTAGTTGAGTACGAGGGCCAATTCTTTGAGTATTTGGAAATACTTGATTCGTATGTATCCCACAAATGAGTTCTTTGAGAGAAATGATCAACTGCTTTCGAAATCTTTTTGATAAACAATAGCAATAAAATGAACTCTAGAAAAAGAGAAGAATAAATATTTGTTTTGAAAGTAAAAAGAAGATAATTTACTGCAAATGGGCCATAAGAATAAGTAGCAATAAATGAAGTAATTGGCTGCTCCACTGCTCGCCTATAAGTATCTTTAACTATATTTGCTGTAATCACTGAGTACATTATTGAAGCTGCATTTGGGCCATTAAATACTAATACAGCAACTATCTGAAATAATGCCATACTAATTGTTTGTCTTGTAAGAGAAGAAAGTAATCTCGTTACACCGATAGTTTTCATATGTCGGACAGTGAGAAATCCAAAAATAGAGACCACTACGATGGGTATAATAGTGACAACACAAAGAGCGACAAAATAGCTGCGATACTGAGCAAATATTGTATTTGTTGTAATACACATGGGGGTACCTCCTATGACAACAAGATCTTGAAAGATGAAGTAAGGTATCTCATGAATAAACCAAAAACAAAGAGTACCAACTATTAAATAGCGTGCTATCCGAATAGTGCTCTTCTGTCGTACAGCAACCGATGGAGAAGAACACATGAAAGCATCAATAGATTGTAAGCATATCAGAGTATATGTACTTTGACTATTAATATCAGTAAAACCTATGCGAGTTTTACACCAAATTCGATTCATCAAAGTAAAATCCATTTGAAAGCCTGTAGTAAGAATTCGAGTAGTTAGGCCAGCAAGAAGAATGTAGAGATCAATAAAAGTACGAACAAACATGTAAAGTGAACATGCATTGTTCTTGTAATTTCTCACTTTAATGAAGACTATGATATTAAGAATATTTCCTAATACACCACCGATCAATAGAATAAATCCTAAAATAAGACTTGAATATCGAAAAGCGCTTTGAAGTTGAAGAATTACTAATGTAATGCTTGTGTTATTGTTAGATGACATCGTAACGTTCTTCGCGAATACGTTGATCTAATGAGTGAAGACGTTACTTTCAGAAAATTTTCTTTTTATTATATTTAGAGATGTAAGTCGATGAGAGGGTCGGCGGCGGCGGCTAACAAATCGGCTTACACCTCTAATTATATCCAGTAGGAAAGAAAACCTTTGATGTAGGAAGAAAACTAGCTTTTTCTTTTCACTAGAAGTTCACTGGAATGATTTAATTAGAAGAAAAAAATGCGCTACATTCATTTTTCTATTAAAGACCATAAAGAATACAAGCACATTTTTTAAATAATTAAACTATAAATGACTGTGTAGAGCAAGAAAGACTATTCAAGTATTCTCACAAGAAGTAATATATCAAACAACTCAATAGTATATCAGATTTCGCAAAGTGTAGTTGTGACATATGTAATGAAATGATCCTCGTTCATTTTGTAATTGAGCCAGTGCAATTTTTCCTCTTGTGAAACTGACATATCAGTTTTGTTTTCTAAACTCGAAGCGATAATATCCTTCAGTAACAGAAATTAATAATGAATGACATATTTTGTATGCCTGCTAAAATTATTTTTAAAATGCTTCTTAATCCATCTTGAGGGTGGGTGTGGGTGTAGGTGTGGGTTAGGCTTGCCAAGTGTACCCCATTTTGGGGTATTGTACCCCATTTCGACACTTCGTACCTCGAAAAAAAACTGTACCCTAGGGGTACACTTTTTGTACCCCATTTGTATTTTTGAGTTTTTTAAATCGTAAACCGATCTTGCTTGTTTTGTCTAAGCTATTACTTCATTGTGTTATGTTATGTTTGTTATGAAAATCACGAAATAAAGTCCATATCGAATAGATAACAGCAAAATATTATGTTGCTTTCAACGATCCCACCTTGGGTCAAAAAAAACTTTTTTTTTTCAAAAATACCCATTTTGAGAGTCATTCAGATTGACATAGCCTATCATTTACACTGTCGAACAGACTATAACTTATCGATTTTGCAGTGGTTTTTGAGGGTTTTAAAGTAGGTTTTCTCAAAAACCTACATGAAACTTTCTTTTTCGAAAACTTTAATTATTGAAGCTATTTGAAGTTTTCTTGAAACTGTTTTTTAATGTTTTATTTGTCAGCGCGACAAAAATTTCTCCACCATTTTGAATGCTAGAGAATCCGAAAAGGTCTTAAAATGAAGGTAAAGCTCAGTGCTACAGCCTAACAGAGCCAGAATTTTTGTTTTCCATTTAGCTGTTTATGAAAAAATCCAGTTCACTAAAAAGTTAACCTCGATGTTTTTTCCTCAAAAACCTTTCTAAAAAAACCGGCTCTGTTCGGTTGTAGCGGTAAGGGTGTTTGTACATTTTGACACCATTCCGAGGTCCATATCATTGGAGTTGCGAAAAAAATCTTCGACATACGGACACCTACTTTTAACCCCTTAATATTAAGATAACCCTCGCAAAACTCAATATTATGAGCTCAAGTTTTTACCGAAAACTATCCAACGCCAGATACATATTCAGTAAAAATTTCAGTAAGATTGAGTGCTCTGGAAAAAAAATAGATTTTTGACCCAAGGGGGAGGGCCCTTTAGGAGAATAAGTTTTCGGGTAGTTTTTTTTCAACCAGTTCTTTTCTTTTAAAAAAAACTGCGTACCTCAACGGTGCACCCCATTTTAAAAAAATTTGTACCCCAATCGTACCCCGTTTGAAATTCGGTGTACCACATTTAGGAGCTAGCACTTGGCAGGCCTGGTGTGGGTGTGAGTATTATATATGGGCACGGCCAAGCGTGACGGAATTTCATTTTTTCAACTTGTGAGACCTATATCTCCTCGATAACGAGAGAAATGTTTCTGAAATTTTAGGCATATATGAAGGTTAACTAGCTCGACTAGCAGTAAAAATTTCATTGACTTGAGACAAGGCATAACGGAGTTATATGCAAAACATCGTTCGTTACGGAATTTCAAAACTGGACAAAATTTTGGGGGAGGCCTCAGATTTTGACATTTTTCTTCAAAACTAAGTGACACATAAATGAACGTTTTATATATAGATTGTTCAGCTTTTCACAAGCTCTTAGAAAATCGTATCGTTTTCTCTATAAAACATTTCCTTTAAATAAGACGACTTAAAATGTTGAGCGTTACGGAATTTCAGATGTTACGGAATTTCGCCTTTTTCTTTTTCTGTGAGGGACAATTTAGTGACATTTTTATAATAATTTTAACTATGAAATCGAACTGTTTTCATTTTGTAACGATTAAGAGTATTGTTTTCTATAAATCGATTAGTTCATTTTCATGTCTGTCTCAAAATTTCATAGAAAATTTCATTCATTATTTTGACAAAAATGAAAATTTTCAAAATAAAAAAAAGCGAAATTTCGTGATTATTCGTGTTTTTAAACTCGTAGGAACGGAAAATGATATTTGTTTTATATGTCAGCTGAGTAATTCAGAATGTCTAACAAACTTAATAGTATTTCAAGATCATAGTTTCTGTTAAAAAATTTTTTTTCTATATATTACTGATTTTTAACCTTCACCAGCGAAGGGGACCGTTAGCTGGCCGTGCCCATATACCTCTCATTCACACCCACACCCTGAACAAGATTTCGAGACAATAGAGTTATGAATAGATATGAGTATACGAACAAGGATGTGATTGTTAGTTGAAATTATGTTTGTGAATGGATTCTTTGAGTTGTTATTATTATAATCATCAATTACAACTACAAAAACTTCTTAATATTAAACCTGGGACATATTTCTGTCTTTTAATCTATTTTATGCATTAAACAGAATTTTTAAAAAATTACACAGACGTTTAAGTCACAAAGTAACCTTAAAAAAGCACATCTTTCTCGGAGAACGGTATATTTATCATCTACCATCTATTAGTGTTAAAAAAATATAAATATTTTTCTGTTGATTGTCTTTTTACCTTATAGAAAAGAAAAAAATGAAGCACTTATCAAAGAAAAAAGACGATGTTTACTATTAGATAAGACAGACACATCATTCTGCAGTTCTATCTTGAAGTTTCGTTGGTGTGAGAATCTAACAAATATCTGTATGTCTAGAGGTATACGCCGAGCGGCTGTGAAGTCTTCACTAACGAGCTTTTCAGAAAGCTTTTTAGCTACTGTCGCCTTAGTCATAAAATTGATGCTTGTTTTTAAAAAAACGAGTGTGAGTGTGAGTATTATATTTACCTCTCACTCACACCCACACCTTCCACAAATTCTTCAATAGCTAAAGTTGTGGATGTGGATGTGGAATGCTTCAATATCGACATCTACACCCCATACTCTAGCCCCCTATAGCTACCCCACACCCTCAAGATGATTTTAAAAACAAGTTTTTCTTTTATTTTTAGACTATTTATTGTGCTTGTTACTCGAAAATATTCATCCATATAAACATGGCTACAAGTGGAAATGTTGACTCACAACAGTATGCACGTGTATCGGATATTCTCAAAGAGCCGCAAAAGATGCTCATGCCAATTCGAGGGTACGAAGAAATGCCAATAGTGCCATTGGAGGAAGCTGTTGCACCACTTATTTCGATTTTACCTGAAATTCAAGATTATGCTTATGTTGCGAAACAACGATGTGAATATGTACCTCCCAATGGTTTAACGCAGGATGAATCAGCTTCAATCATCCTTTACTCTATGGAATGGGAACCACATGAAAAATATTTATATTTTGCCCTTAATACAGCTCTTCGTGCTGAAGATAGGCGAAAATTAAAACCATGGTTTTCGTATTTAAAACTTATTCTTACGGCACTCGAAAAACTACCATCCACACGATGCAATGTGTTTCGTGGAGTGAATTTAGATTTAACTAATCAATATACTGAAGGAAAAACATTTGTCTGGTGGGGATTTTCTTCATGTACAACATCGGTAGGGGTACTCGAAAACGAACAATTTTTAGGCAAAACTGGTCGAAGAACACTGTTTACGATCGAATGTGATAGTGGCAAAGATATCAGTCGTCATTCGTATTATGAATCAGAAAAAGAGGTTCTTCTTCTAGCTGCTCGACAATTTATTGTAGTATCATGTCTTCGACTAGCACCAGGCCTTCATATGATTCAATTAAAAGAAACAAAGCCTCCAATTACTCTTTTACAACCGGTTACGAATCAATCTGTGCAAATTAAACCATCGCCGAGTAAGAGAAAACTATTTCATCAGTTGAAATATAAAATGTTAAATATAGAATAATTTGGTAGAATACTACTTACGAGTCATGACATTATGACTCTAGCTCATTTTTCAAAGAATGAATTTTCATAAGATCCTTCCCTAGCTAAATCCTACACATTTTAAAATTTTTGCACATAATTAGGGGAGTTTTTTCTATAAAGCATCCCAATCTTAGAAATAAGATATAGACACTTGTGCGCATATTTAATACAATTACTGTTGGCGTGTTTTCTTTCTGAAGGAACTGTAAAACTACACGGATCTCGAGCTGTACGTTTTAGAACTGTACCAATCAGATTTATAGATCTTGTCATCACAGATCAACTGTCCACTGACGACTCTTCAAGGGAGTCCCTACGAAAACACCAACGGAGAATCACAACAGGGATTCCGTCTGGGTTTGCGAGGAAGTGAAAATGAGTCCAAGAGTTTTGCAAGGAGTGAAAAGAAGTCCACAGGGCTTTGCGAGGGGATGAAAGGGAAGTCATAAGAATGGGTGTGGGTATAGTACAAACTCACACTCATTCTCATTCCCACATTCCACACCCTTGACCAGGGGTTTGTTTTTCAGTTACAAATAATTTAATAAATAAATCATTAAAGAGTTTATGACACGGATCTCAGAATAATCAGATGAATAAGAAATATTTGATATTTTATTATTGAATTTGGTTTATTTAAAATCTTCATTAGAAAATAGAATAATTAAAGATTATACTTGTACAATTTTATTTTTAAGATAAATGTTAAAACAACTGTTTCAGAGATCGATGAAAAAAAATCTAATCCAATAGAATAATTTATAAATTATTCACTCTTTGTATCCATAATATATTAAAAATCTAATTAAACTAATACATAAACTAATAATAATTACTATATATTATCTTTCTTTTTAATAATAAAATATTTAACCAAAAAGAAAGAAATATTCTATAGAGAACTTTGCGATTCATGTTCAAAAATTATAATATAAACAAATTCTCTCTCTTTATATCTTTATTCACAAAATTTAAAATCATAAAAATGAATTTTCACCCGTTGCATTTTAGATTATTTCAAAACTCAAATAACAGTTCTAATAGTTCCAATAACTCTTTATTTATTTTTTTAAAAACCACAATATTGTATTAATATTTTTTAATATTTTTATATAAATTAAATTACAATAAATTATTTATTTTTCTATTATTGTCAAATAAAATCATTGTATTTTTTTTATTAAGATTCTTATCAATCAAATCATTCTACAATTAGTACAGCAACTATACCAAAGAATCCAATAACAACACATCAAACAACAACTCAATCTCAAATAAAACAAAGTATGTTTCATTAAATAAAAAATAGTTCTACTGTCTTTAAAATTAAGATAGAATCTTCTCATAAATTATTTTTATTAATTAAGTAACAATTTAAATTAGTTTTTCAAAGAATATCATTCTTTAGATAAGAAATAACAATTTCTCTTGAAACAATATTTATAAAATTATTCATAATTTGGCTCTTCTCTATTTTTATATCACTTAATATAACACTGAAAAGAAATTTCATCCATCGTTTTCAAATAATTTTTTCCATTGAAATATTGAGAGTATTATTAAATAAATGTTTAAAATAAAAATTCTTTTGAAAAATAACAAAGTTTTTCATTTAAAATAAATTTTTATTAATTAATTAGTATGAGTAAGAACAAAATATAACATGGAACGTTTTATTTTCTAATTAAAATAAATATTTTTCATAATTGAAAACAAACTTTTAAAGAATTATTAATCATATAACCTTTCATATTGAAAAAACGTCATCGAAGAAAAACAAACTATTGGTAACTTCAAACGGAATACTTTCCTGAAACAGTAATAATCATTTTGTTTGTTGTGAGTCAAATAACTGTATGTTCTCTCATGAGAAATACATATGCTTGACTCAAAACAAACATTTATGGCACAATAACATCTACACGTGTGTCTACGTTCTGTTTTTCGTTAGATGGTTATACATAAAAGCGAATAATAATAATAGACTCTCATTCTATTTTGCTTTATAACTGAGAATATTGTTTTCTATATTTCAGTTAAAAGAAAAAAGAAAGACCATGAACAAACGATCAGTGCCGGTTGAAGGTACTTTGTTTTCAAATTATATACAATATGATCGAAATATTATATTTTAGAATTCAAAGAGCAACATTTAAAAAAGATCCAATCCAGCAATAACAAACAACAAAATGATCATAATAAAGGTTATATCAGTTAGAAATTCATAAAATCCTTTTTCATTAACATGAGACATCTGACAAAATTCTAATATCTATCATGATTATTTAGTTAATCTTTTATAATTATATATCATAATAGATACAAAAATAAACTAAGAAATGGAAACGAAATCTACGCCTGAAAGTTATTCATTCCGTGTAACATCAGGTAAACATTTAATATGATCTATTCATTGCTTGAATAGAATACTATTATTTTAGATAACAACATTGTTCTTGAATTAATTACAACCGATTATAAGCGTGCACAAGATTTTTTATTCGCCATTGCTGAAGTATACCTATAATATCTCTTATTTAGTTTTACTATTAGAATAAACTACAAATTTTATTTTAGCCTATTCATCGTTCTGAACATACTCAGGAATATGAACTTACATCTAATTCTATACATTCTGCTATGTTTTCTGGTTTGCAAACGCAAGATATGATTAGAGATTTACAACAATTGAGTAAAACAAATATTTCAAATGATTTAATCAATTATATCAAAGTAATTTCGAATGATTGATTTCAAAAAATAAACTTTTAGTTTTCTAGTCATGTACAGAGATGTATGGCAAAGTTAAATTAGTATTGAAAAATAGACGTTATTTTATTGAAAGTATCTTTCCTGTAAGTTAAATTTTTTGATATATTTTTTGCAATTACAATTCGTTCGTTTTTATTAGAATATTTTAAATGAACTTCTTCAAGATTCTGAAATTAAAGAATGTCGAGCAATCTCAACAGAACAAGGTTTGAATTTAGAATCATTTGAAGTTATTCAACAGAAAATTGAAAGTTTAAAAAAACGGTTAGCCATTTTTTTCTTTCAATTATTTATTTTTTTTTAAACATACACAGATGTCAACAGTTAAAATATCCATTACTTGAAGAATATGACTTTGTTCATGATACAATGACAAAAAATCTCAATATTCAACTTGCTCCAGATGCTAATTTAAGACCTTATCAAGAAGAAAGCTTACGAAAAATGTTTAATAATGGTATAATAAATTATATCATTGATTGATTATTTCATTTTTCTTTTATTTAGGACGAGCTCGATCGGGTATTATTGTTCTTCCTTGTGGTAGATATTCAATTTTATTCTGAACTTGAAATTATATTTTTCTTTCAGGTGCTGGAAAATCATTAGTAGGTGTTGCAGCTGCATGTCATATGAAGAAGAATTGTCTTGTATTATGTAATTCAAATGTGTCTGTTGAACAATGGAAAGAACAATTCAAACGATGGTCAACAGCTGATGATTCTATCGTACGATCATATACAGCTAACAAAAAAGATAAACTTAACGGTAGTAAGTAAATGTTCTTTAATATCGATTAATTTTATCTTTTTATGATTAGGTGCATGTATATTTATAAGTACATATCAAATGGTTGCACCTAAAAAAGGACGCATTATTGAAACGAGTAAAATTCTGGAAAAGCTTACTAATTATGAATGGGGTTTGCAATATTAGTATATATATTTCTTTTTCTTTCGAACTTTTAATTATTCATAGGTCTTATATTACTCGATGAAGTACATACAGCACCTGCTAAAACTTTTCGAAAAATTTTGAGTATTGTACCTGCACAGATTAAATTAGGTCTTAGTGCAACACTCGTTCGTGAAGATGATAAAATTATAGATCTTAATTATTTAGTTGGACCTAAATTATATGAAGCTAATTGGATGGAATTACAAAATTTAGGATTTATTGCTAAAGTTCATTGTGCAGAAGTTCGATGTGAAATGACATCGGAATTCTTAAAAGAATATACTACAGCTACAAATCATATGGTTAAACGAAGACTTAGTGTATGTAATCCAAATAAATTTCGAACATGCCAATCTTTAATTCAATATCATGAACAACGAAATAATAAGATTATCGTTTTTAGTGATGATCTATTTGCACTTGAAACCTACGCATTAAAACTTGACAAGTAGGTTTTCATTATTTTTGTATTATTTTATTTTATTTTTAATTATTATTATTAAGACCATTCATTCATGGAAGAGTACCACATAATGAACGTATTCAATTATTACAAGATTTTCAATGAAATTCAAAAAATAATACTATCTTTCTTTCAAAAGTAAATCTATTTTTCGATATTGATTGTATAAAAAAAAGTAATCATGTAATATAGGTCGGTGATACATCATTTGATTTACCTGAAGCTAATGTTGTTATTCAAATATCAAGTCATGGTCGTTCACGACGACAAGAAGCACAACGACTTGGTCGAATTTCACGTATAAAGAAAGGTTTGTCTATCTCCTTCAATAAGGTGAAAATGAATTATTATTGATTTTATTTAGATATTATTAATACCAACGAGAATAATGCATTTTTTTATACACTCATTTCAGAAGATACAAATGAAATGAAGTATTCATCATATAGACAAAGTTTTCTTATTGATCAAGGTTATACATATGCAATGCTTACACATACACAGATAATTACAAATGAAGTATTGAATTCTTTATTTTTAAATAGAAAACTTTTTGAGTTTTCTTTTATTCTTTTAGAATCAACTTTATTTCTCCACTAATGAAGAACAACGAGAATTACTTGAACAAATTCCTAGAACACCCAATAATGATGAAGCATTACCTATAACTACTAAAAAAAACTTCAAGTAAACCAAAACATCCACTATTTCAAAAATATCCATGATAGTCCAAGTGATAATGACAAGATGATCTTTTGTATTATACAGTTATAAAGTATCTCTTTTTTTAATACACGATTGTCTTCAAATTAACATGTGGAAAACATAAGAATTCTTTTATTTTTTTTTTGGAATAATCATTAAATAAACATACATAGATAAAAAAAGAAAATTTTACCAATAGTTACAAATTATTTAATTTTCAAACAAACATAGATAAATCTGATTTTGATAAATTCATAAAGCACCTCATTCCATTCGTAACTAGTTGACGATGTGATATTTGCATTAAATAACCATAGAAAGTTTCTAGGATGGTTGTGGGTGTAGGCGTGTGGTGAATGAATATAATACACCTAACCACCCAACCATCCTCACAAAACACATCTACATCCTTATGATGAGTGAGAACATTAGAACAATCAGAACTATAGAATTGTGAAATTACATTGGTTGGATTGGTCGGAATTAATAGAAAAATCTTTTCCGTTCTGCCACTGTGAAGATTCATTTTATTAAATAGGACACGAGAGAAGAACAGAATGAGTTACCATAGTTGAAGGCCATAACAGACACTTTACGAGATATGGTTAAAAATACGCATTTTTTATTTGATATTTATGCGGAAAGGAAGAGAAGAAAAATACTTTCTTTTTTTCATCAGAATGAAGAAGTATATTAGTGCATTTTTTTCTCACAGAGTCGCAAAAATAATAAATAGTGTTTTTACTACGATGTTATCGTCTTTTTATTCCAAACAAAATATCATATTCTGATGTTGCTTTAGATCAAATCGGTATTTTGAGTCGAGCTTTTAGCATCAGAAAAAGTGACGAAAGATGTATTTCTTGAAAATATGTTTTGGTATTTGAATATATTCACAGGTATTAAATAGTTTTTTTTTTCTAGATCAAAGACATGTCTTCAGAAGACGGCACTGATTTAGAAGCTAGAATCAGTTCATTAACTACTGCTGATTGTAATCAAGAAAATATATTCATTATATGCTACAACTTTAATAATGCTGACAAAATTAAGGAAGATCTTTTGGCTGTCGATAAAGCCGTTACTTTCTGTACTGATATAGATTTATGTGTTGAAGAAATTAAATCAAAAAAGAAGGAAAAGATTTTTCTTATCATATCAGCTACAGATGCATGCAAAATTCTTCCCGAGATTGCCACTCTGTCTCAATTAAATTCCGTTTTTATTTGGCCAGAAAATCAAGATGAATGTAAACGTTTAATTGATGATTATTGTGAAGTACGTATTTGTAACAATTCGAACGACGTTATAAAATCAATAAATGAAAAAATCAAGTGCATCGGCAAGCCGTTGGAATGCGTTTCATTTTATGACCAACATCAAAAAAGCACTCGTATTCTACCGACACAGTCAGGAGAACATCTGTGGTAAGATTAATTGACTTTATTTTACTAACATCTTGACTTGAGAAAATGATAAAATCTTAATTTTTCTTTTAAAAGATGCAGCATGAAAAGTTGTACACAAAATGTATAAAGAAATCTTTATTAAGTGCTACGAACGGTTTTCTTATAGTTATTATTAACAGTTTATATGGTGCTACGATTTTCTAGCACGATAAAACTGCTAGCAAGTTGTTTTTTGTTTTTTTATATATCTTGCCATTGAAAAATAATATATACGTAATTCTTTCTTTTAAAGTTACCCCATGAATAGCTTTCTCAGAGCTACACTAATAAGTTCCTGATAACGGATTCTGGTGATCCTCCTATTCTCAAAAACTAAGAATTATATAATCGTTGGTCTGATTTTCTGCTCTATCTCATTTTTGTTTTCAAAATATCGTAGCTTCCAGAAATGGTATAATGTAAGTTTTCATTTTACAAGATGTGCCGTCCAAAGAACTACAAAATAAGCGAAAATAAACTCACTAATTTATGGTTTCGTTTTCTTTAAACCGCAAGAAGGGTAATTGACACGATAGCCTTATTAGCCCTCATTTAAGAAGATTTTTCTCTGTTCTGCATTTGTCTTGGTTTGGACAAATAATAATAATTTAAATTTCTTTTTGAATGATTCACAGTCAAAAGCTCTACACTAGCTGTGTGTAAAATTTTTTAATGAAAGATGAGAACGTCTTCGATACATTCTCATTCATCCGATTACACTGGACAATCGCAGTACCATATAGGTTGTTAGTAATGACTATGAAAAAAGCGTTCAAAGCAGTCAATAAAGATTTTCTTATACATTTTTCGTACAGCTTCTCATGCTGCATCTTCTAAAAGAAAAATCAAAATTTTATCATTTTTTTAAGTCAGGGTGTTAGTAAAATAGAAAATGCTATAACACTTTTGTCACACCAGGTAAATGTAACTAAAAGAGCTATTTCGTTTTTTACATTTCAATCCAGCAGCAATTGTGCTAACAACTTTTTCACATAGGTTTCAATTATTTCATGAAGTTATCGGGCATTTACCACATGATAATGAAGCAAAAAAAGAAATGTTAAGTGTTTGTCGAGAATACTATCGAAATAATCCTCGATACCTTAACGATATTGACAAATTCGATGAAAACTATGACACTAATGAATGTATTCGGTGGTACACAAAGAACACATTTGTATACAGAATGATCAACAAAGCCCTACGAACAGAAGATATCGAACAACTTTATCGATTTCGTTTCTATATTGCTGATCTTTCAAAACATCTTGCACAAGAATATAAGAAGATGAAGAATCGAAATATAGAGAAAATGGTACTATATCACGGTGCATCTTTAAAGAAAGAAGAATTAGAGATTCTAAAATTGATGAAAGGAAAAATTTTTGCAACTAATGGCTATTGGTCTACGAGTCTTGATCGTTCGTGCGCAGTTGAATTTTCTCAAAGTGATCCCGATGCTATACCGGTCTTATTTGAAATCAAATGGAATTTACATGATTGCAACGATTCGATTATTTTCGCTGATATATCTCATTTAAGTGAATTCGATGAAAAAGAACATTTAGTTGATGCAGATTCAATTTTCCAAATTGAAAAAATTGAGGAAGAAATAGTCGATAACGTCAAGTTAGATGTATTTTACCTGAAAGCAAGTGGAGAAGGACAAGAACTTGCCAAACAATATATAGAGGAATACAGACAGGAAATGAAGTATGAAAGTCCGAGAATAATGCTTGGAATATTGTTAAAAAGAATAGGGAAATTTGACCAGTCGTTAGACTATTTTAAGGAACTTTTGAAAAATCCAGGGAAAGAGAAACTATCTCGTATTCATCATCGAATTGGTATTGCTTTGACACATCGAGATGAATGTCCTCTAGCTTTAGAACATTTAAAGAAAGCATATGATCTGAGTTTGGAGGTAGATCAATCAGATGAAATAAATCTAGCTCGTTTATATCATGATAAAGGTTTAGTTTTTAAGACGCAAGGAAAGTTTTCCCAAGCTCTACAGTGGCACTGGAAAGCCATACACATCATCGGAGAAACTCATATTCTCAAGAATCGTCTCAGTGCAGATATATACAGTAGTATTGGACATTATTATTTATGTAAAAAAGATTATGTAGAAGCGGACTGCTGTTATCAAAAGGCATTAGAAATAAGACAATCATGTTTACCTCTTAATCATGCTCACCATGCTTTCAGTTATATTAATTTATCTAAAAAGTATAACTCGGAAGGAAACTATAAGAAAGCGCTTGACTATAATCTTAGAGCATTGGAACTGCGACAAAAATGTTTGTTACCCGATCATCTTAATATTGCTTCGAGTCTGCATCACGTAGGTAAAATGTATTATAAAAACAAGGATTCAGACAAGGCATTGGATTATTATTGGAAATCACTTGAAATGACAAAAAAATGTTTACCGCCTCCACAACAGCGTACGGTTCCTGGCATTCTGGAAGACATCGCATCCATCTACGAAGATGATCCCAAGCAATCACTGGAATATCGATTAGAAGCACTGGCTGTTCTAAAGACTCTCAAGTCTATTAACTATGAATATCTAGTTCGTACTATCGATAAGATTGCCTGCACATACAAACGTATGAATAATATGGAAGATTCTCTCAAATATTATGAAGAGGCTATATGCATACGCGAAAAAGAATTACCCAGAGATAAATTCCATTTAGCAGAAAATCTCGATAATTTAGCTTTCGTATACGAACGAATGCGTAAGCCAATACAAGCATTAGATTGCTATAACAAAATAATGACTATGTGCACCGAGTCTTACCATTCTTATCATCGGCTTTGTATAAAAACCATTAAAAATATCAAACGAATCAAACAAAAAATGAAGAAGATATAGTCTATGAAACATCCTATGTAACTGGAAATGATGAAATTTTATTTAATTTACGTCTTCAAGCTCAAAATTTCAATTTAAAAATTAACATTGTCTCATCTTACCTTAAAACTAGGTGTCAAAAGATAGAATGAATAATAAATTTTGTTAAAAAACACGTTTTCAATTGATTAATAAAATTATTTGAGTGGTGCACCTTTATCTTCCTGATGAATGTTATAAAATCTTGAGTTCTGAATGATTTTCCAGTGACGACCTATTATTCTGAGCAAGCAGTCATATTCTCAGAATACTAATCATCGATGAATGTTTGAGTAGGACTGGATGTAGGTGTGAGCCTTGTTCTTATCTCACACCCACACACATTATTTGTAAAACGATATTTTTATGAAAGTAATAATTAAAAGAAAATTATAGTTTACTAATTGTTTGTTTCAATTCCGTAGCCATAATTTGAGACATTTTAAATTTTTGTACTTTTCCAGTTGGTGTTGTAATGAATTTGTCAACAAATCTAATATATTTTGGTATTTTAAAGAAAGCTAATTTATTTTGAAGAAACTTTTGAATATCTTCTGATTGACAATGTGAGATATTTGATTTTAAAATGATCCAAACACAGAGTTCTTCACCATATCGTTGATCTGGAATAGAAAAGACTTGTGCTTGTGCAACACTTGGATGTTCACATATGGTATTTTCAATTTCAATTGGATAAATATTGACTCCACCACGAATGATAATTTCTTTTTGACGTCCAATAAAATAAAGAAAACCATCGTCATCCATTTTACCTTCATCACCTGTTCTTAGCCATCCTGACGGTGTCAATGTTTCTGCTGTCTTATCGGGATCAGCAAAATATCCACGCATAATTGAATATCCTCTTGCCCAAATTTCTCCTTGTTGACCAATAGGAACAATTTGTCCTTGGCGATCGACAACTTTAACTTCTAGTCCTTGCATACATCGACCTAATGATCCTAATCGTCGTTGTGGATCATTATCTCCAGCCCACATGCCACTAGTGAGTAGTGAAGCATTTTCTGTCAATCCATAACCTTGAACCATTCGTGTGATAGGAAATTCTTTTTCGATTTGATATAAAAAATCCAAAGTTAACGTTGTTGCTCCTGTTCCTCCATAAGCCAATGAACTGAGATCATATTTGTTCTTATCTGGATGATTTAAGATATCACGAAAGATAATTGGTGCTCCAATCAATGCTGTACATTTTTCTTCATGAATCGCACGCATTGTAGCTAACGTATCAGGTAATATAGCTGGAAAGATAACTTTACATTTACCCACAGCTACATTGAGCACACCGGAAATTTCTGCAAAAATGTGAAACATTGGAATAGGAACACAAACACGATGATAAAATGGATTTAGAAGTTCCCATTGAGCACGAACCAAATTAAGTATACCAAAATTAGTTAATGTTGCTGCCTTAGGTTGACCTGTTGTGCCTGATGTAAAGAAGATTGCAAGAGCAGAATCTGGATCAACCGATGCTTGTCGTTCAATTAGTTTATTGTGACATAGTTGAGCTCCTCGTTTAAGTAAATTCACATACGAATATGTACCTGGTAGAGATGTCTGTTCACCAGTTAGAATGACATATTTCAATGTGGGAACTGATTTAGCCGAGAGTTGACCAGCTGCCAATGATCGTTGACTGAGTTCGGGAACAAGTCGAAGAAAAATCGAAAGTAAATCGATGGATTTGACTGATGGTGAGAGAAGAATACCTTTACAACCCACTTTATTTATACAATATTCAAGTTCACGTTCGACATAAGCTGGATTGATATTTACCTAATAGAGAGAGAGAAAAAGAAGAAGATTCAAAAATACAATTTGACTTTACTTTGATCAAACCTAATTTAGATGCTGCATAAGATATTGTTACATTTTCTGATGTATTTGGAAGCCAAACAGCAAAACGATCGTTTTTTTCAAAACCCAAGTCAAGAAGTGATGCTGCGATATTATCAACTTCATCTTTGAATGTTTTGTATGTGTACCGTTTTTGTTCACCTTTAAAAATGAAACATTCCTCATTGGAATACTTCAAGGCCATTTCATCAAAGTGCTGACTCAGTGTTTTGTTGATCAACTGAAATGAAGATGAATGATGAAAATAACTTGAAGTTAGATTAATCTTTGGTATCATTGTGAAATGATCTTGTTTTTCAATTTGATTTTTAATCGACGATGTCATTTTCTCAACAACACACACTTTTGTATTTTCACTTTTATCTTCACCTTCATTCCTTATCATTTTATATTTAATAAAAATGAAATAACACAGAACAAAGAAAAAAAATCGAATATAAAAGCCAGATAAGATGAAATTTAAATAGTATCATCACAATTTGCATAGAAATAATGAAACACTGTATCGATTCTTGTATTCTGCATAATAAATGTCTACCAATTCATTGTTTTCATGAATCCTCTCCGAATTTTGAATATTTGAAGAGTAAAATGTAGGTTATTATTTTATTCAACACTTTGACCCATTTTCAAAATTGGTCTTAATCGAAATACATGTAAGAGCTACCGTATCTGTGTCGTTAACATTTATACGAAGATAAGAACGAAACGCGTGTTAGGCAAAAAAAATAGGGTTTTATTACTTTCTTTTCTATTGCTGCTGTTGTGGCTGTGTGCCGTATTTGTCCGTAATAACATCTGACAAAACATTGTTGTAAAGTAATATATGCTGAAAATATTTTGTTGAAAACTAAATAAACAATTTAGAAGAAAAACTTATTCTATCATTTCAGAATGACCGACCTTCCAACAGATGCATCGGTAAACACGACATCTTCCCATGTTTTTCATCGTTCTCTTGTCAATGAACCTTTGCTCGCTGTACGAGCAGAAGGGAATTACATTTATCTTAAAGATGGACGCAAACTACTCGATGGTAGTGGTGGTGCTGCTGTAACAAACATTGGTCATGGCGATAAACGTGTCATTGCTGGAATTCTTGATCAGTTGCAAACTGTTGATTATGTTCATTCAGGAACATTTTCAAATAAGGTAAGTGAAAATGTTCATTCTTATTTTCTCTCGCTCAACTATCGCGAGATAATTCAGGAGACGCACAGAATTCCTAAGTCTATAATAATATTTTATCTATAGGCAGCCGAGGAACTCGCAACTGAACTGACCAAAGACAGTGGAATGGCAAGAGCAATATTTGTCTCAGGTGGTTCTGTAAGTTTAGTTTAAGTTGATTTATTCTTTTATCAATTCTTTGAAAAAAAAGGAAGCGGTAGAATCAGCGATCAAACTTGCTAGACAATATCATTTGGAAAAAAAACAACCGGAAAGAACTAATTTTATTGCTCGTCAACAAAGTTATCATGGAAATACACTGGGTGCACTTGGTCTCTGTCGACATACAGCACGTCGTGCTCCTTTTTTACCATATTTTTCATCTCATTTTCATCATGTTTCACCTTGCTTTGCTTATCATTACAAGTTAGACAATGAATCAGATGAAGACTATGTGAATCGTCTCGCTGATGAACTGGAAGCTAAATTCCAAGAACTCGGTCCTCACACAGTTGCTGCGTTTTTTGCTGAGACAAGTAAATACGAGACACATGATAGATGAAGTTTATAGTTTATCTTCTTAATCTTAGTCGTCGGTGCTACAAGTGGTTGTACTCCAGCAGTGCCTGGTTATTTCAAGGCAATGCGTAATGTATGTGATCGACATGGTGCTCTGTTTGTTCTCGATGAGATTATGTGTGGAATAGGACGAACGGGTAAAATGCATGCGTGGCAATGGGAAGATCTTTCATCTCCACCAGATATTCAAGTTTTAGGAAAAGGACTTGGCGGTGGTTATGCTTCTCTAGCAACTATTCTCATTTCAACCAAAGTTATCAATGCTTTTCTTGCTGGATCAGGTTCATTCAATAATGGATATACTTATCAATCACATGCTGTTGGATGTAGAGCTGCTTTAGAAGTTCTCAAAATAATTAAACAAGATCAATTAATTGAACAATGTTATCAACGTGGAATCTTCTTACAAAAGATTCTCAACGAACAATTGAGCAATCATTTGCATGTTGGAGATATTCGGTTAGTTTTTTTCTCGATATTTACATATTTAATGTTCATTTAATAGAGGTCGTGGTCTATTCTGGTCAGTGGAATTTGTCAAGAACAAAGAGACGAAAGAGATGTATCCATCAACTTGTTTATTCATTGATTCTATTATAAAAGAATGCATAGAACGTGGAGGTAAGTTGTTACCTATTCTAAATAAATATTCTAGATTTCTTTTTGTTTATAGTTGTCATTTATCCTGGCTCGAAAGGTACGGCTGATGGTATCTGTGGAGATCATGTGATCATTGCTCCACCGTATACAATTACCGAAGACGAACTTGCTTTTATTGTCGACACTCTCAAAGTAGCGATTATTGTTGTTTTTAAATCTATTCAAGAACTTGCTTAATTTAATTCTCACGGATGATCATAATATTATTCATATCAAAATCGAACATAGAAAATAATTGATTGACGTCTTTTATATAAATATTGTCAAGTAGACATTTGTGTTAGCATTTGTTTTGATGATTTCCAAATTTAATTTCATTTCAGTTTTTATCTGATTTATTTAGAGTTTATTGACTTATTACTATTTTGACAGTGTGAGATAATTGACATAATAAAATGTTTTTTTCGTTTCAAAGTAACAAATCTTATCAACTGATTATAATTTTTACAATCACTGACTAGATCCGTAACAATCGATATTAAATAGAAATATCAGCAAGAGAACAAAGTAACTAGGAACAAAAATATCTTCTAGATCAGTGCTATAGTCAGGGTTTTAGTGTGGCTTTGTCTGTGAGACTAAGCTTTGAAGTACATCTACACCCACACCCTTTCTGATTCATTCTGTAAAATATAATATTGTTTCACCTTCAGAGCCGTACTTGGATTACAGGCAAGTTAATAAACTTTTATAATCATTCACAAAGAAAATATATATATTAAGTTGTCTCCAATTACAAAATATTAAAAAAGAAAAAACCAAAATATCACAAATCTTGAAAAATAAAAAAAACAAAGAAGTTTTCTGACTACAGACTATTCACTAAGTTCGATGTTTCTCGCCGATCGAATAAAAATGATATTATCAACTCGATCAGCTATAGACCGAATTGCATTTGTTGTCTTTTTACTGATTTTTAATTATCAATTTTATAATGTGCTTGTAACTATCGTGCAAATCCATTCATAAAGTCTCAACTACTATCATGATATTCCGATTGACAAGAAAATCCGCAATGAATTTACTTTTTCAATGATTATCTCTTACACGCTGTTGTACATATATTTTGAAAAAAAACGGAATGTACGAGGCGCACTTTGTAAAGAAAGTTATACACAATATGATATCATATTTAAATCTATGTGTGTTTTTGTTATCTTTATTTGCGAAGTTCACAAGTGCTTTAAACCGTTATTTTTAAGATATAATAAATCTGATTCGAAATGTATTGCATAAATTTTTAAAGACTTATGAAGTTCAGCATGAAAAGTTTCGTATAATCCTGACTATTTACTACTGATTTCTCTAAAATTTAATAAAAAGATTTTTTTTTCGTTTCTGTAACTCTATACTTGATTGAAAACAACATTCGGATTGACGATATTAAAGATGAAGAATACTTATATATACTTGGCGAATGACGTTGATGTAATTTTATCTATCATCCAAATCTGTCAATATACTTAAAGAGATGACGCTGCAATTTTTAACATCCTTTCAAATCTGTCAATACACTTAAGAAGATGACGATGCACTTGTTTCATGCTTTAAAATTTGTCGATGTATTGACAAACCAAGCTGTATATATAAATGCGTCAAAAGTAATTTGAGTGAATATATTTCATACAATACAAAAACACAAAACAGGATAAATTTATCTTTGCCTGATATTTTGACGCAACATGGTGGTACCAACGCATTCTATCTTGTATTTTTGCATCATCGTTACAGTTGCCAAATTTGTTGTCTGTGCATCCTCATCGATTGATAGAATCGCTGCGACGCAGACTTTTACTTTCAGTTCTGAATTTATACATATCAAAGCCATCGGTGACAAACCAACTCTCTTGTTTCTTCATGGCTTTCCATCATCATTTCATTCATGGCGTCATCAAACTAAATATTTTTCAGATCAAGGCTACGGTTGTCTGGTGCCCAATTTATTGGGCTATGGTAAAACTTATTCTCCTGCGAACGAGACTGAATACGATAGCAAATCAATAGTCGATCATCTGATTGCTCTTCTTTATCATGTAAACTTGGGCAATTCCAAAGTCTTCGTCATAGGACATGACTGGGGTGCACGAACGGCCAGTCGATTTGTTTTATATCATCCTGAACGAACATTAGGCGCTGTGCTACTCAGCGTTGCATATAGTCCGCCTGGCCAATTTAATCTGAACGTGGTTCTTAACCAGTCACTTCTAGTTTATAACTATACAAGCATTGGTTACTGGGAATTCTTCCAAGCTAATGATGCAGCACGAATTATTGAAGAAAAATTGGATAGCTTTATCGACCTTATTTTTGCGAATGATTCAATGCTTGCAAGAACAGATTTTGCTCCAGTTGGTAAAGTACGAGCATGGCTAAGCAGTGGAAGACGAACTGATCGGGCTTCGTATATGACACAAGAAGACTACCAAACAGTTTACGACTATCTCAATAAACAAATGCAACCAAAGTTGAACTGGTTCAAAGCAATCATTGCCAACGTCGATTGGGAGTATGAAAAGACTCTTAATGCAACAGTGCAACGACCTGTACTCTTTATTGAAGGCACCAGAGATTATATTGGCATTATTGGTGCTAGTGAAAGACAAAAGCAATATATCTCTGACTTGAAAATAGTTAAGCTGGATACTGGTCATTGGGTGATGGAAGAAAAACCAGAAGAGGTCAATCGAGAGATCGATCAATGGATCAAAGAAGTTATATCTAACAAGTCTGCTGCATCTTCAGTTTTATTGGCTCCCTATTTTTGTTTTCTTACTGTCTATTTTTTGTTCAGTATCTCAACAAGTTTTTTTTAACAACATTCTTTTGTTGATTCAATTAATAAATATATAAAAAGAAATACCTTGTTTTGTACAAAAGAGGCAGAAGCAATGAAGGGTGGATGCGAGTAGAGGTTTTGTATAAATATCTTTTGTTTGCTTACGCTCACAATCGTAAGACGTCCTTGTGAAGCATATGCTACAAAGTAGAAAAAAGCACTTTTTGATGCCATGCAAAGATCTTATATCTTCATCAATAATTGTAAGATGAAGCTAAGGACTCATATATACAAATTACACACCAAATCTCTGATCTATATATCAGTCATCTGAAACATTTAGACAGCTTCGCTTGTTATTCTAAACAGAAGATTACTGAATTTGTTATATTATGTGATGTAAGAAAAATGAGAGTATACGATTAGAAATTTAGATAAGACATGCAACATCTTTATTTGCTATTCTTCGGTCTTTTTAGTGTTGGTATAGCTTTGTTATCTGCTTTGTTACATTGATAGAAGAAGAGAAAGTTTACTTTACCATTTTCACTGTTACTTGTTTGTCGATTACAACTATGTTAAATGTAATATGTCGACGCGTATTGCCTTATGCATCGCATCATTGTCGTAGATTGAATTCAACAAAATGGAATTCATCGATTCCTGGTGGAGATTCAGAATTGCGTGGTGATGGTGCTATTCGACGAAAACATCCACTTGGCTCTACTATTGAACAAACTTATGCTGGCGTTCTATCATTTCTTCGCCGAAATTATACGCGTGATTTGAGTAATGTTGACGTTGCCGTTACTGGAATTCCTCTTGATTTAGCGACCACTTATAGACCAGGTGCAAGATTCGGACCGAAAGGCATTCGAGAAGCATCTGCACAAGTAGCAAAACGAAAATCCTATCCTGAGGGAATCGATGTATTTGCAGATCTAGCTGTTGTTGACTACGGTGATTGTTGGCTCGATTGTGGCCAACCTCATACAATACCACTTGCTATTGAAGCCCACGCGAGAGAAATTATTGATCAAAATGTCTTTCTTCTCTCACTCGGTAATACGTTCTTTGAAGAAAAAAAATTTCAATAAATTTATTTATAACTTAGGTGGTGATCACTACTCAACATATCCATTATTAAAAGCACATGTTTCCCGGCATGGCAAACCATTGTCTCTCATTCAATTTGATGCACATTGTGATACATGGCCAAGTGACACACCACACAGTCTCAATCATGGTTCCATGTTCTATTATGCTGTACGCGAAGGTCTTATTGATCCACAAACATCAATACAAATTGGTATTCGTACATTTAATGATGATTTTATGGGTGTAAAAATTCTTGATGCTGAATGGGTACATCAACATTCTATCGATGATGTAGTTGATGAAATTAAGAATCGAGTCGGAAATAATGCAACTTATTTAACATTTGATATCGATTGTTTGGATCCATCATGTGCTCCTGGTACGGGTACTCCAGTATGTGGAGGTCTAACAATGGCACAATCAATTGCTATTCTTCGTCGACTTCGTTCAATTAATTATGTTGGAATGGATATTGTTGAAGTATCTCCAGCATATGATCATTCTAATATAACGAGTCTAGCGGCAGCTACTATTGGCTATCGACTTTTATGTTTACTTCGGGATAAAAAAATGATTGATAAATCATTTCCATTTGGAAATTATGAAGATAAAAAATAAATAAATATTACTGATTTTATAATATAACATGATCAATGTGATTGCTAGGAGAGAATCACTTTGATATTCTCGCCCCTGGTTTCTTTCTTTTCTTTTTTCTCGTGTTCTCTTTGTTTGACTTTGTGTGACGTAGCGTATATGTACGTGTATGTTATAGTGGAAGAGGGGTGATTTTTCTATTTTGAAATAAAAATACACGCTCGTCGAAACGAGCTAACAGTGATCAATTGAGGAGACGAGCGTGAATATTGTGTTCATTCACTCACACTCCGATGTCTATCCCGCATAGTCTATCGAAAAAGTAACACAGAATGAACTGTTACCATTATCAATTTTTTTTGTAAATTCATCAGCATATAGTATATGAATGAGATTTCATTCCTTCCAGATGACTTTTTAGACGATTTTTCTAAGCAGTTGAAAAAAAGTATCCAAAATCTTTTGTAGATATTTTAAACTTTTTACCAACAGACAACAATAGAAAAAAATAGAATCGAATAAATGATACACGAACAAAAAATATATTTAAGTGTGAGTACGACTTCTTTAAGTATTTGGAAATACTTGATTTGTATGTATACCACAAATAAGTTCTTTGAGAGACACAATCAACTGATTTCGAAATCTTTTTGATAAACAATAGCAATAAAATGAACTCTAAAAAAAGAGAAGAATAAATATTTGATTTGAAAGTAAGAAAAAGACAATTTACTGCATATGGGCCATAAGAATAAGTAGAAGCAAATGAAGCAATTAACTGTTCCAGTGCTCTTCTATAAGTATCTTTAACTACATTTGCTGTAACAATTAAGTAAATTGACCAGGCTGTATATGGACCATTGAAGACTAATACAGCAAGTATTTGAAATAATGCCATACTAATCGTTTGTTTTGTTAGAGAAGAAAGTGCTCTCGTTACACCGATAGTTTTCATATGTCGAACAGTGAAATATCCAAAAATAGAGATCACAATAATTGGAATAGTAGTGAAAATACCGAGATAGACAAAATAGCTTCGATACTGGACAAATATTGTATTTGTTGTAATACACATGGGAGTATCACCTACGATAACAAGATCTTGAAAGATGAAGTAGAGTATCTCATGAACAAACCAAAAACAAAGAGTACCAAGTATTAAATATGGTGCTATTTGAATATTGCTCTTTTGTCGTACAGCAACTGATGGAGAAGAACACATGAAAGCATCAATAGATTGTAAGCAAATCAGAGTATATGAACTTTCATCAGTAATATCAGTAAAACCTAAGCGGATTTTACACCAAATTCTATTCATTAAAGTAAAATCTATTTGGAAACCTGTAGCAAGAATTCGAGTGGTTAGACCAGTAAGAAGAACATAGAAATCAAGAAAAGTACGAACAAACATGTAAAGTGAACATGCATTGATTTTATAATTGCCAAGTTTGATGAAGAAGATTATATTAAGAGTATTTCCTAATACACCACCAATCAATAGAATAAATCCTAAAATAAGACTTGGATATCGAAAAGCACTTTGAAGTTGAAGAATTGCTAATGTAATGCTTGTGTTATTGTTGGATGACATCGTCCCGTTCTTCGGAAATGCTTTTATCTAATGACTGAAAATGTTCGTGTTAAAAGATTTTTTTATTATTATACCAAATAGATAAGAAAAGTAGCTTTTTCTTTTGACTAGCAGTCAGCTGAATTAATTTTATGAGAAAAAAAAAGAATGACGTACAATCGTTTTTCTATTAAAGATTACAAAGAGTAGAAGCACATTATTTTAAATAATTAGATTAGAATTTACAATGTAGCATTCAAGTCAATGTTAAGATTTTTAATCTTTGAATGAAATGTAATTCGTCTAACATATTGGGTTACAACATATTTTATCAAACAGCTGAATAGCATATTAGATTTAACAACTGATAATTTTGACATGTCATAAAGTGATCTTCTTTCATTTTTTCCTCTGGTTAAATTCACATATATATATATATATATATATCATAACTCGAAGCGACGACATCCATTAGTAACAGAAAATAGTAATGAATGACGTAGTTTGTATGGCTGGTAAAATTATTATAAACATGCTTCTTTATCTATTATAAGAACATTTAAGTACGTACTTTAATCGAAATCATACTCACAAAAATCAGTGTCTTATCATTCGTTTTGCATTATGAATTAGTTGAGTTGACATAATTCATATTTTTTTCTTGGATAGAAGTTCTATTAAATTGTATTATTCATATATCTTGTAAAAAGTTTACGTATGCTTATCATATCCTGAAATAAGTACTATCTTATTTTAATGTTTTTTAGTATTTTTTAGACCTTAACAATGAAGATCAACATGAAAATAGAATAATTAATTAGCAATAAGAAAATAACAATATATTATTTTTGTGATCTATGTTGATAAATATCATAATAAAACTCTATCGTCTTATTTCTATTGATGCTTTTGTATGCATAGGATAGAACATTTGTCAACTACTTGTCATTCATATAACTTGTTTCATTAACTGATTATATTCTTTTTTTGTGTCAAAAACACTTTCAATAATATTATTTATTTTATTTATATTCATCATTACACCTTTACAAACGCTATTATATCAAAAATTTGCACTATTCAGTATCACTATGTTATTGAATTCCATTCGACGAAAACACATATATGATCATTATAACAAGATACAACTAAATGTTCTCATAAATATAACAGTATACCCATATAAATATTTTTTGCCGCAAAATGCGTCTGAAACGCTAAAGGTGAACGCGTTTGAGCTTATTCCCAGTGAAACAAACAAAGCGTTTAACGCGATTTATTTCCGAAACGCGTATGAATGCATTCGTAATTTGACTTGCGTGTGAAACGCTAAAGGTAAACACGTCCCCGATAAAATATTCCAAGCGTCTGAACGCGTTTCATATAAAATCTAAAATTTTTAAAAAATATATGATAATCTATCTCAGATTCGAACTGAATCGCTATCAACAACACTCTTCGATAATCTTAGCCTACTTAAGCGATGACGATCAGAAGTCGTTCATATACACCACCGAGCTATATTAGCTCCAAATGTTTCCTCAGTCAAAATTTTAGTACTCATATGAAGCTGTAATATGTAGAAATTAATGTTTGATATCATTTAATATGAACAGTATTTATAATTATCTATTTAATATAAAGTTGTTGTTATGATAGTACAAAAATAATGTCAATAAAATTTATTATAATTATGAAAAAAAAACATTAATTCAATAAAAGAATAGTTAATAGAAATAGAATAATATATTTATCATCTATTATTCTTCTGAGTTATCATCAAAACTTAAATCATCTAAATTAACTGTATCGTTTATTGTTCCATCACCATCAATACTTGAACAACATGAAATAGCATAATTTAAACGTTCATACATAATTTCACTTGTCGAATAGGCAGGTAAATCAATCGTAAAAAAACATGTATGTGATCCTAAAATTCATTCAATAAAATTAAAGATATAATATTGTATGAATTCACTTACGTGGCAGTATTTTATCAACATTTTCATTTTCATATAGATCCAACTTAGTAATGGTAAATTTCGTATGAAAATCTTCATCTCGAGTTGGTAATGTACTTCGACCCCAAACAAATATTAAAAATAATTTTCTTTGTTCATCCGTAAACATTTCATTAAGTACCGTCCAGAATAATTCCATTGTCGATGAATCTTGACTATATTCACCACCATAATAAGTATTTCGTTTTAAAATTTCAATATCAATTCGTCCTTTTCCACATACTGCTTCTTCAAGTTCAGTAGGAGTAAATAAATTTAAATAATAACATGGAATAATACTATATAATCCATCACGTATTAAATTTATTTGTCGATTAAATTCATTGAGACGATATTGTCGATATAACGAACAATATTTTTTAAAATTCGATGCTGTTATAGAAATTTCTGAACCATTTGGAATAAGTTCATAACTTTGTCCAGATGAACTAACAACATCAAATCGTAATTCACTCATAATACTACTAAATAATGTTTCCATATCATTATCATTATCATTATCCATTGATTTTATTTGTTCAATATTTTTTTCCATTTCATTAATCATTGTAAAACTTTGTGCATCAATTGCTTCAATATCTTCAATAGTAATTTGTTCTTTTAATAATTGTTTCCATAATAATATTGGAAATTTTAAATCTAAATAATGTTTTTTACGTATTGCCATACCCATTAATTGTCCAATAAAACGATATTGTCTTTTAAATTTTTTTGGTATCGACTTATTTGGTGGAAATACATTTGTAATCCAACAATCACGATTTAAACCACTATTTGTACGTCCATTTGGGCATAAAATAAATAATGATAATCTTGTTGAACATATATCTAAACAAATACGTGTTATACTATCACGATAAGGTCCACCTGCATCAGTACTATGCATTCCAATATATTGTGCTTGCCATAATTGTTCATTTGATCGTCGAAATATTATATGAGCATTAGCATGTAATTGTTGATAGGCTTGATAAAAAAATGTACTTTCACTTTTTTCAATATCCGTACTTGCTTTAACAGTATCGAAATTAACAGTTTGATAATCAGAACTATAAGCACCTTCGGTTTTCTCTAGAGATTCATGAAATAATTGTAATTTTGTTGATGATAATAGATAAAGTTTTATTGTTCGAATATAATCCGTTAGAGGACTTTGTCCTTGTGATAAACTAAAATCAACAATAGCAAGACTTTTTTCAACGAATTTATTTAATAGATAAATAAATTTTGCTCGATTTTGAATAGAATCAGCAGGAACGTTTGATAATAATATATAATTCTTATAGAATATTGCATTTGGTTCAGATTCAGTTGGAAGACTTTCAATAAAACTAGAGAATGAATTATCATTTAATAATGAATTATTATTCATGAAATTAATTAATTCTTGATCAATAAGAGGATTGAAAATTTGATTCGATTTTATAAAATCATCTTGATTTAACTGATAATTATCACCTAAAATATTTTTTGATTGTGAAAGAAATATTTCAGGTAATGGTATTTGTTTTGTTGGATCATTCCAAGCAATAATAACATCAACTGTTGTAAATAAATTTTGAATATTTTCTGGTAATTTCATTTGAAATTCTTTTATTTGACTATTATCTTGTTTCTTCAATAATATAAATATAAAATCTAATAACGAAATTTCAAGTTTCTTTTTCGAATAACTACTTATTGATAGTGTAGTCGATGATGATAATTCAATTAAAAATTGACAAAAAAATTGTTGAATTTGATTATTCAATTTAATAGATTCACTTGTTTGTAATAATCTAAAAGAATATAAATATTATAGAATTCTAAAAAAAATAGCTCGATGACTTACGTAGTAAATAAATGAAGAATAGATATTTTAGCTTGATTTGTTGAAACAATTAAGAATAGATTAAATAATAAATTAATTAATTGTTTCGGAAATAAAATTGAAATAATCAAATCTATTTGATGTTGTTTCATAATTGATTTATCAGTTATTAATTCCACAAAATGATTAAGAGTTTTGAAAATAAAATTGAAATTTAATTGTTGTTGATCACCACTAGAATTTGATTCTAATAAAGATGGTTTAAGTAAAAATTTAATTGAATGAATAATAAAATCTTTTTGTAAATGATATAATAATGGTGCTTGATTTTCTAAATCATTCTTATCAGGATGTTCAAGTAATTGTTTGATTTCAGTTTTAAGAATTGAATTAATTAATATATGTATTCGATTAAATTTTTCATTTTTATTTATTTCCGAATAATCTAATAATTTTAATAATGATATAAGAAATGTATAATTACCAAATTTTTCTAATGGAAATAATAATGATGTACTATCATAGGACCATACTTTAAGCATATTTAGAATGGTATTACGTGCATAAATTATTGTTAATCCATGTTCACAAGCAATTCGTGATTGTAAAAATTGTTTTGATGAAATATTTTTATGTGAATAATCAATTGATTCATGAGGTTTTTTTCTTGTTTGTTTCTTTTGTTCAATATCAATTAATTGATAAATATTATCTTCATCTTCTGTTACCGATGTTTTATCACGAAGCCATTCATTAAAATTACTACGAATATCTAAATGTTGAACAGATTGTAGAAACCAATTTGGATTTAATTTATCTTTTGATTCAACTACATTTTCATCAGATGATTGCTGTAAAGACATCGAATGAGTAAGTATATATTGAGCAATATTTTTTATTTGTTCATCTGTAGTTAATTCAATATTTTTTAAAATTTCCGAATCAATCGATGGATCTAATTTGGTTAAAATATTCGTATAACGTATTCGTATATTTTCCTGATCTTGTTTTATAAAATAAGATTTTTGTTCACGTAAAATTGTATTAATTGTTGAAATATTTGTTGTTTTATTGTCGTCGATTACCGATTGTATCCATGATTTTTTATAACCCATTGCCATTAAACTTAATCCAATAATTGAAGTAGGTAATGCAAGTAATGTTGATGATTGTAATTGATCAATTGATACTGCACGATTTAAATAAGTAATTGATTTTAATGATATTCGAAGTATTTCTTCACTTGTAGTATTTCGGGTAAAATCGCTTTCTCTAAATAATCTAATTCGATTTCTTTTAATTTTTATATATTCGTCATCACTGTTTTTCTTATCAATTTCTAATTTATTATTTACATAGATTTGAAGAGATTCTGGACGACCAATAATCGATAAACGAAAATATTCATTTCGAATAATAGATGAATGACTTTCATGTTTTGTTCCATTTTCATCGAAACAAAGTTTACCATCAGATGTTAAAAGAATATCATTTTTAGAATTCAATGTTATTAATGCTAGCCTTTCATCTTTTGATGGCCAATTTGGAATACAAAGATTGAATACAAATGTAAATTTCGACCATACATCATCAGATTTATTTAGAATAAGATAAGATTGATTTCCATATAATTCAACAGTTGAATAATCTTCATTTGTTTTAAAATATTTTGATTCATCCATATCTGCTTGTTTTTTCTTTTTTTCCCAAAGTTCGTCTGTACATGATTCAATAAATGGAAGAAGTAATTCATCGGAAAATTCTTGTTGATTTTTAGAAAATGTTATTGTATTTACTTGTTTTCGATAGTCTTTTAATCTCTTAAAATCACTAACAATATATAATAGACTATAATTGAATAGACGACGAATTTGTTCTTCAGATAGAGCATATTTCCATATTGCTAAATTTTTTATTTCACAAGCAATTTTTGGTAAAATATGTATATTTAAGTTCTTAATTGTTTCATACGAAAATGCATCGGGATATGTTCGACATTTATTGTTAATATAAACTTTTATTTGTCGTTTTTTTGCTAAGAAAATAATCACACATCGTAATTTTTCATCGGTTTTTCTACAAATAATTTCCATTGAATCTAATGTAAATAAATCAATAATATCAAGTTTTTCATCGGTTGAAGTTAGTTGAACATCAAAACTAATTGTTAATGATGATGCTTCTGTATTGTCTACAGATAAATTGAAACCATCACTATTATCCGGTAGAATAATAGATTGATTATTTAAAGAAAATTTTGTTTCAAGATGATGTTCATTAACAAAATCACGTAGAATATTAATATCAGATTTCGTTTGTCTAGTAAGACAAGATTCCGTTTGATCATCACCAATAAGATATGCACTGAAAGGATAATCAACAAGTAAATTTTCTTTTGGAAGAGATTTAGGTAATAATATAGATTTATAACCATTTGGTAATGGACAATCTTTCATATCTTCTGGACTTATTATTAATTCACAACATCTTGATACTTCACTTTGTATACTAATAGCTGGATAATATGTTGTAGTTGCTCCATTTGGTAATAAATCACATTTTGTTGATGAATATTTAACACATGTTTTATGTTGAAAAGCTGTACCTAAAAGTTTTCCATTCAACCAATATTTAATATTAGTATTTTCTCCATCAATTTCGATACCACAACCACAAACATCATTTTCATTCCAACGAACATCATCAAATTGACTATAAAATCCTTGAGCATTGAATAAAACACCACGCGAACCATCATATGACCATGAATACATATCATCACCTACTCCACATCCACTACTAGGTGTAAATCCATTTGTTGCCCATCCGATTTGTAAAAGTCCAGCATTTGGTAATCGAACACAATAATACCATTTTCCTTCACTTAATTGCAAATTATTCATAATAAATGTTGGAAATGATACTGTTGTATTCTCTCCATTAGGAACTATTCGTCCATGAAATCTATGTTTAATACCACATTCTTCAGTTACACTAACATCAGCTGTATTACGTGGAAATGGTACAATAGTTATTTCATCGATTCCAATTCGTCCTTCTTTAAAATATTCCATTTCTCCTGCAAATACATACGGTCTCCATCCATTGTATGCCGTCCAAATATTCGTATCTAATTGATCTTGATTCATTTTCTCAACATTCCATATACTATATAATAAATCATCTTGATCATTTATTGATATTGATTGTTGTTGTTGTTGTTCTACTAAATCTTGTTGTTCATTATCAACTATTTTTTTCAATCTTTCACATGTATCTAAACTTAAACAATATTGTTGTAAATGTTGTTTATTAAATAAACGTATATCCGTCGGTTGTTGATTTGATATACATAGTTGTGCAATAATCGATGCATATGGTTTTTCCATGAAAATTTCAATTAATTTCTTGTTATTCAATATATGATATAGAACAGAAATACAATGACGTTTTATTTGTAATAACATTATTGATTCATTTGTTGATGTATCAATTTGAATAAAATATCCTAGTAGATCAAGTATTGAATCAAATGTATTTGGTAAATCAGATGGTGGAATATCGATTTTAAGTTGTAATTTATTTATAGAAACTGATTCTGTTTGATTTGTTTGTAAATATTGAATTAAATAAGGTGTTTCTGTATCATTAATATCAATAATTAATGCTAAAGAAGATTCATCATTTAATTTATCATTTGTTTCATTTATAACCACGGAACCTAATCGATATGGTTCAATATAACTACCGAAAATATTTAATGATGCTAGAAGTTTATTCATTTGATTTAAATCATTCGCTTCAATTGATTCGATGTTTAAATATGATACAATAGTATTAAATATAATTTCTATTGCTATTGTTTTCCATGAAGATTCAATAGACATTATTGTACGATACATATAAATTAATTCTGCAATAATTTCTTGTGATAGAATATTTTCACCAATTGTATTTAAAGTATCATGTAAGAAAATTTCAATAAGATTTTTTGCTATTTCATCTGCATTATCGGATATTGATGGTATTAAATAACGTAGAATTTTTATTGTAAGTAAACGAGTAATATTAGCCTGATGATGATTGTAAATATAAATTAATTGTTCAAGAAACGGAATAGTTGCACAAACGGATAGAACATATTTATAAAAACGCATACAACGAAGTAGAAGAACTAAATATTGATTTATATAGAGATTAATATCTGATTGATCTGCTTGAAGAAACCATTTAATAGATATATCTTTTAAAGAATTATTAGTTTGTATTTCGGAATCAGGCAATGAAATATTTTTTAATTCATTTAAAATTAATGTATTAAAAAGAAATCTTTGTTGTTGTTGTAAAATTTGATTTGGTGTATCATGTAATTTTTCAATTTCAATATTTTCACATAATTTCATGAGAAATAATCGAAACCAATTAAATGCATTAAATTTCAATCCAATCGATGTTGTATTATCATTGGAATTATTAGCTAAACTAACAAATGATTGAAATAATATTTCAATTATTTGATGATTATATATATGACAAATGTCTGTTGATTCATAAGATAAATTAAGTAAATAAAAAATAGTTTGTACGAAATGATTTGATTGTAAAGTAAATGATAAAACAAGTTTAATAATTGAATAATAAGTCTTACTAATATCGTCTCGTAATTGATTATTTGTTGCTAATATATCATTAAAATATGACCATTCTAAATCACTTTTTCTCATATATGGTAAATAAATCGATAGAGTTTTAAGGCATTGATCATTATTATTGAGTTGAAGAAGATTTTGTATAAATATTTTAATAAATCGATATGTAAGTAATCGAATTGTAGCTCGTTCATGTTGTCGACAAAGACATTTTTCAAGTTCATCAATTTCTAATTGTTTTTCTTCGATTGTTACGGATGCTGATATTTTATATAAATCTCCATAAATAAAATTATCAATTGTTCGATTTAATAAACTATCATAATCAAGTTTTTGTTCGATACTATGTTTTTTTTCTAACATAAATCGTTTAAATCGTATACAAGCTTGAAATAAATGGCGTAGTAATTTAAAAACATATTTTGCTTTTGACCAATGTGAATGTTGCCGTTGAAAATGATTTGCTTTTTTTGGTTTATTATCAATTATAATTGATGATACATCTTCTTTTACTATTGGTATTAAATCACTTTCTTTAACTGATAATAAAAGAAATAATGTTTTGCTTTTTATTTGTTTATAAAGTTCATTACAATCACCACCTTGACCTTTAATAGTAGCAAATAATGTTTGAATACGATTAGCATATTCATAAATAGATAATAATTGATTATATGGTTTATTTTCATCTGTACGTAATAATTCGGATTTAGCAAGATTTATTCGTCGATAAAGTTTAACATAAACAGCAAATACAGCAGCACATGCATCATTTGCTTGTTGTTCAATTGATTTTTGTAATGAATTTTGTTTAGTTTTAATACACGTTTTCAATTTAGATATTAATCGTGCACCATCATCAGTATTATTATAAATTGACATAAGAAAATCTTTATCATCTTCGATATTATTATTTGATTGTTGAAATTGACTATACATAGCTAGATTCGATTTAAACAAATAATTATTTTTATCCGTTGTACATCCACCAGCAAAAATAGGTAATTTTAATTTATTTAAATGTTTTATTTCAAGAGAATCTTGTGGTGAACCAATAATTAATACATGACTTATTCTACCAATTAAACAACAAATAAATTCATTATCTTGATTTTTTAAATAATATTCTGTTAATAATGGTAAAATATCTATAAATATTGATTGAATAGATTCATATTGATAAAATCCATCGCTTTTTGTCATTGAACATAAAATAATAAGAATTGAATTAAATAAATCATTATTCGTACAATTTTTTTTGAATATAGCAGTAAAATATTCAGTCATAAGTGAAGATAATTGATTTATATTATTATTCTTTTCACATAAACGATATAATAAAAGTTTTTGAAATGATAATAACATATCAGATTTTGTTTCTTCACTTTCATTAAAATGAAAATCAATAAACCAATATAAAATATTCAATGCTGATAATTTCTTATTTTCATCACATAATATTTCAATCCAATCTAATAATGTTTCTGTTTTATTTAATTCAATAAATATTTGTTGAATTAATATTGTATGTTTATTTTCAACGACATATTTATGAAATAACGATAATTTTTCATTGAATGATATTATTTGAATATTAATTACATTAATAAATGCTTTTGATGCTTCTTTATTTATCGAAATATTATCGAAATTTTCAGTACAAGATAATTTTAATAATAAATCAAACCATATTTTTAAATCAATATCAGAAGCATATGTTGATATATCATTATGATAATCAAATAAAATTTGTAAATGTGTATTAAATAATCTTAAACAAACAGTTAGAATATGAATGATTGTATTATTTGATTGTGATAATATAATTGTTGATAATTGTTCAATAATATGAAATAAATCTTTAAATGTATTAACATGAAATTCACATGAAAATGAACTTAAATTAAAAATTTTTATTGGTGAATTTATTTCATTTTCAATATCAATATGTGATAAAATAATAGATGAAATAAATTGACCAGTAAATAAATCATCAGTTAAATTTATTAATTCTGTATTAGGATATGAATTGATAGATTTTAAATAATTCAATGATGGAAATTCTAAAATTAAAAAAAATCGATTAGTATAGGTGGGTGTGGCTATAAAAGTTGAATCGCTCCCCCTACACACCCTATTTAAATGCATGTCTACTATGTAAGATTAATAGCTTATAATATTTATTAGAAGTTTTACCTGTCAATTCATTTTGTTTCTCCCATTCATCGATAGCTTCAGTAAGGCCATTATTCAACTGAATGATTAGACCTTGTACATGATAAATATCACTTGTATTGAAAATTAATTTATTTAATAAGGATAAAATATCTTTGAATGATCCTTTTGCAATTGAAAAACTAAGTAAAATTTTTAAAGCTTGTTTTGAAATAGTTGGATCTGTTGTTAGAGATAATTCATGAATATAATTTGTTAATGGTTCTAATGATTTAAATAAGAATTTATTTTTCGAAGATAAACATTTGACTGGAAATTGTTCACATAATTGTCCTGTTAAGATTAATATCTGTTGAATAATTATAGGATCATTTTTTTCAGCAGATTTTATCAGAAGTAATAATATCGATATTAATGATTGAATAGCAAAATATGATAATTGATCAGATTGATATTTATCTTTGTCTTGTTGTTGATTATTATTATCTAATGTAGCATTACTAAATGATTGTGCAAATATTGAAAGATTAATATATTTATTGTCTTGAAGTTTCTTCGTCAATGATGTTTCAAGTTGTTGTTTATATGTGACACGATCATCAATTATGCTCGTGATTTTATTATTTTGTTCTGTAATAGATGGAAAAACATTATTGGTAAGTATATCATCGATGTCAGAATTGAGCTTTTCCCATTGAGTTGGTGTTGTTAGTGTAGATAGATAATTTCGAATTTGTTTTATATATTCAGTTTGAGAATTTGGAATTTGATTGTCGTTATTCGATTCAGTTAAATCCGAAGAATTTTTTAAAGAAAAAAATAAACTGATATCATCATTACCAATAGTTGATGTAATAGTTTCAGATGTAATTGCAATAGGTTCGTCTGTATTTAAATGAACCTCAAATAATTCTTGACCCATTTTTACAGCTGCTATAGAGAAAAGAAAAAAAAATAGATATTAAATATATTTTATATTGCGATTTATTTTCAAACATAAGACTGGTAGAAAAAAAAATTAAAATTTTGTATTAATAGTTAAACGAGATAAGAAAACTGACAAAAAATAACAGAAATATGCAAAATTTATTTGATGTAATTCGAGGAAGCGATGTTAATCCTACTGATAAGAATCCTTACATGATAAATATCTATTTTATATTCTAGAAAAATATTTTACTAATGACTCAAACTTAACTGCAACAAACTATAATAAGAAAAAGTTTCTTTTTATGAATAATTCGATGAATTCGTCTTTTTTTCTTTTCAATAAATTACATTCAATTTATTGAAGTGATGCAAAACAACAAACCTTTTACTTTTCAACGACGGCAATGAATAATAAGAAAAAAAACTCGTGAGTATTCGATTATGCGTATGTGTTGACTTCGGGTTTTTTTCGTTTCTTATCGTTGTTATAATTTGCCTAGATATTACTTTTCTTTCCTGTATGCTGCCTCATATATCAAAACATTAACATGCAACAGAACACAACCACGTGCTTTTATGTAATAAAACAGAACACGTTTTGACACCTTATTAACTTCAATATTCTCATATTTTTTTATATTACGAGTAAAAAAAATGCGTTTGAAGAATGTTTTCTCTCGTCATTCTTTTTTTTGTCATGTTTTTTTATTTTTTTTTATATAACACATTAGAAGATTGAATCGAGCGACATATTTACTCATTGAAAAATGATATATTCTTGCTATTCAAATATCATTTCATGCGAATAAGAATGCATCAGTTTTTAACTCCAAATATTTGATAATGGTTTTTGTTGATAAATACAATCTTAATTTAAAAAGTATAGAAAGTAACATTATAGTCAATACATATCAACAAAATTAAAATTTAAACGATTTCTTGATAATAAATGCCTCTACGAAGCACGTGTAAATAGTGTTAAAAATTTCTTAAAATTAAAATAGTTACAATTTGTTATCATATTTTATTTTCTCGTATCATTTTCATGATAATGAAACCGTTGGAAAAGAAAGGTGTGAATGTGGGTGTGGTTTGTCATTAATACATCTTATCCGTATTCATATTCTCAATCTTTTTAAAACTTTATGTCATTTATTTATCATGACTATATTTTTTCGCCGTAGTTCCGTTTTGAGCATAATTTTCTTTATATTTAATTTTCGACCTTGACAACATAAATGATTACCGAAAAGACAAATTTTGTTTTTTATCCTTGGAAAAAAACATAAAATGAGTGTCGTGAGAAAAAGAATGAAAAAAAAACATTTAAAACTTCAATGATCTTATACATTCGATTAGTTGATTGTAAGAAGCATGGAATTGCTAATGACTTTGTCTTGCTCAAAGTACAACACTACCTAATTATTTTTGTAATAATGGTGATCAATTCATTGACAACTCATTCTGCATGGTACACATATCATTCAACTATTCTCTTCGACAATATAAAGTAAAGCCATCGTCATCATCCAATACTACTCATTATTCTGTGTATATCATTAAGTTACTGTGCTCTTTATTGTTATCTTTAATTTTGTCAGTCACAAGTTTCTACCAGTCTATAAATATGACGATAAACAGAGGAAGTAAATATTCATAAGTTATATCATAAAGTTGAGCAAATTATCCAACATAATGGATAAACATTATGCGTGTGTCTTTGCTATTTATTTCTCTCTATTTTGTTTTTTTTCTTTTAGTCATTGTCGTTAACAGTTTTGTCTTCCTTCTGTTTATCTACGTATACAAACGACTAAATGCATATTTATGCGTTTGTTCTATTCAAACTACAAAACGTGCTTTTAGAATGTACGAGAACGATAGTTTTTGTACTCAAAAATCATTAACAATGTATTGACAAAACAAGTTACTCATTGTTATCAACATAAATATTAATATGTTGTTATTAAAAGAATTATCATAACTAATTACTTTACAAAAAAAATTCTAAATAGTTCTATGGTTATCATTGTATAAAACTCATGAATTTTCATTATTTTATTCAATGAAAAGTAAAAGACAATAATATTAAATAGAAATAATCTATCTTTTTAGATTGATTCATTAGTTTATGGGAGTTTTATATTAGTCAAAAAGAGTCTTATTCAGTCATACATTCTTCTTCATAGCCAAGTTGGCGAAATATTATCTACTTATAAATGTGAGTACTTGATATATTTGCTTTACAGGTTTTTATCTTATTCACTGTCAACACACTATTAACAACGAAAAAAACAAAGTTGAGAAGTAACAAAGAGAAAGGTAGTATGATGTAAGAAATCAAGGAGTGACAGTTTTTGAATTTTATCTTCAGTTTTTCTCATCGGAGATCTCTCTTGAATGATACTTATCAAAGATTTCGCCAGTATTTAAGAGTTGAATCTTCAATATAACCAATTAAATAACTTTCTTTTAGTCATATTTATTTGTGAACTTCAAGATGGCTTCATTGAATGACACACGTACATCAGACAATTCACTTTTATGTCCATTAACATTAGAGTTATTTCGTGATCCAGTTTTAGCACAAGATGGTCATACATATGAGAGAGTAGCGATTGAAGAATGGATACGAAAAACTGGTTCGAGTCCATTAACACGACAGCCGTTATCTTTGGAACATTTATATCCAAATCTTGTTGTTAAAAAAATAATTGATAACTTTGAAACATTAACACGTAATAAGAAATATCAATTTATACTAGATGTTGATGTGAAAAAAGCTAAAGGTCGACCATTATTTCAAACATATGGTAAATCGATTTTTAACGCAGAATGGTTACCAACAAATGAAAATCGACCAAAAATACTTATTTTAAAAATAAATGGTGCTCGCGCCAGTAAAGAAGCATCATTCTATGTCGAATTAAGTCGTCATCCTCATATTGTTCGAACGTTTGGTTTTGTAGGAAATAAAAATATGAACGATGATATGGATTCAATAATGCTTTTACAAGAATGTGCACCTGAAGGAAGTTTGTACGAGTTATTAGATGAACGAGAAACAGTACCCGATGAAAAAATTCTTATTGAAATTTTTCTACAAATTATTGATGCAATGATATGTTTAGCTGATAATCATGTTGTTCACGGTGATTCAGCATGTCGTAATATTCTAGTATTTCGTTTCGATGAGACTGATCCGGAAAAAATTGTTGTGAAAGTAACGGATTTTGGACTTAGTCGACATAGTAAATTGTATTCATTGGCTTCCAGTGCTGCATCACATACTACACTAAATATTATTCCTTATCGATATGCTGCACCAGAAACACTTTCAGCGAACGCAACACCTGAAGTATATACAGAGAAATCAGATATTTATTCAATGGGCGTTTTAATGTGGGAAGCTTATTCCCGAGGAAAGGTACCTTGGTCTAGAATTGAGCGTGATGATGATGTTATTCAGAGAGTCATAAATGGAGATAGACTTTCTCAGCCATCAAATTGTAGTTCACAATACTGGTCTATTATTGTGAAAACCTGGTCCAAATCACCTCATGATCGACCTACTTTCAGAGAATTGAAGCGTCTTCTAACAGAGCAATACTATCAGAAAGGTAAACTATTTAAATATTCATCTCTTTATTATCCTCATACAGCAAGCAAAAAGAAGTGATCGATCATTGACAGATGAACTCTAAAAACATCATTTTCGTTTCTGTTAATATTTTCTTTATCACTCACACCCACCCACCCACACCCACGCCCTCGTCGTGGTTGGTGGCCGAGGTGGTGGAAATGCCCTGATTCAGTTAAGAAATTCTCAGCAAGTGATTGTTGATCAGTTAGGTACTGTTTATGTAGCTGATTGTGATAACCATAGAATCATGTGTTGGTATCAAGGAGCAGACGAAGGGAGTGTGGTTGTCGGCGGAAACGGTAAGGGAAATGAAGCAAACCAGTTTAATAGTCCTAGTGGTTTAGCAATCGATCTTCAAGGCAATCTCTACGTTGCGGACACGCTAAATCATCGAGTACAAAAATTCTTGATCAACACGCTCCGTTAATTATCATTCTATATTTGATAATTGTGCTGCTCTGTTATTTTTTATGATAAATAAATGATGACTTGAATACAAGATTTTCTTCTAGTTAAATTGGAATATCTCATAAGTTAGTTTTGAAAAGAACGGACAAATTTATCATATTTCATGGTTTGTTGTTATACATATACTTGAACTTATTTCTTTCGTTAAACACAAACTGAAAGGAGTATTAAAGTATTGTATCTCTCTCACGACACTTTTAATCAACTTTTGATAAGCGTCTTTTCTTGAAAAAAATCTGACAGAATTTAAAATCCTTCCTTGCTGTCTTCTTTTCATATTCATTCTAAAAATACATCATAATTGGAAATCTGACACATTTGTTACGGAACTCCTTTATTCAAAATATAATAACGTTCTATCATGTTTCACATTTGTAATCCCATAGAGATTGTACCGAGATTTTTTTACTTTGATTCATTAATTGTTGATCAATTAAATATAATAAGTTGAGAAAAAAAATAGACTGCTCGTCTATATAAATCGAAAAAAATAAGAATTTAATACATTTCTTTTCACGAAATTCAAAATAAAATGAACTACGTTTAGATGCTTGATTTTTTTTCTAAATGATGCCTAGAGTTGAGATGACATGTGTGTTCCATCTACTCAATGTATTTATATGTAAGATGATTAATTCTAAAAATATATACTTTGTAGTGAGAAAATGAGTAGTTGTTATTCGAATAAGAAGAAGCGGTTTGATAGTATTCAGTTTAGCTAATAATCAAGTACTTTTGATGTTTTCTAACACATAAGATTATTGTAGATGAATGGTATTATAGAGTTCATAACTATCAATACCTAGATATTCATACTTTATCATTTAATACTTCTCAAAGTAACATTTTTCTATAATTTAATTCATCATGTCACGTCTCAGGTCACACACAGAGATATCTATAAGATTATTTGCTCTTCTACAAGCGACGATATGATTGTAGATGAAGAATATATTGAATGAAAATTTTATTATTTGTCAAACTATAAATCAGAAAATTTCGTATAATATAAAAATTTCATTGAATAAATGTAAATGTTTTACAAGTACAAAAAAGATGTTATTACGATACATGTAATCATCAAATATATTTAATTAATAAAGTGAATTTTATAATTTCTTCAACTCTTCAATTAATTCTTGTCTCTATTTTGTAGGTAGGCTTAGACGGTAATCTTTTTTTAAAATTAATTAAGGTAATTATTATCATATGCCCACGTCGAAGATATTTCATGATAAAAATATAAGACTAGAAAAAAAAAGATTACGGAAGTCTGATAAGAATCAAAAAAGTTACATTCATTTCTAATGTAATGAAATGGCGTTAAATACATCTTACATAGATTTTTTAAATAATATTTCAAATGATCTTAATCGATATTTTGGAATATTTGTTTTTCTTTTTGGTTTAATTGGTAATATTTTAAATATTCTTGTTCTCTCTCAACGACCACTTCGATCAAATCCATGTGCATTACTATTTCTTGCTTCATCAGTTTCTAATTTAATAGCAATAGTTTCCGGTCTTCTTACTCGAATATTATCTGGTTGGAATCTCGATCCAACAAGCACAATTATTTCTCTATGTAAAATACGTATATTTATTTCTTTTCCTTCTCGTACAGCTGCTTATTGGTTTGTTGTATTAGCTACTCTTGATCGATGGCTTTTAACAAGTATTCATGCAAATTATCGTCAAATGAGTACAATTAAAAATGCTCAACGAAGTATTATTATTACCGTTATTTTTTCAATGATTCTTTTCATTTATGCACCTATTTGTTATCAAATTGGTTTAACTAATGTACCACTTCAATGTTCTGGTAACACAAAATTATGTCGCGCTTTTGTAGATATGACTTATGCATTCATTACTATTTCATTACCTATAGTAATAATGAATATTTTTAGTTTTAAAACTATTTCAAATATTCGTCATATGAAAAAACGCATTCGACCTTTACAACAATATAATAATAAACGAATAGTTACTAGAGTAAATATGTCTACTCGAGAATGGAAAACAACAGATCAACGTCTTCTTCGAATGCTTTTTATACAAATTATTCTGTTTACTTTATTTTCTTTTCCTATTGTCCTACAACGGCTATATGCAACAGTGACAATTAATAATCAAAAGTCAACATTACAAACTACTACTGACAATTTTATATTTTCTTTTGTTCTTCTTTTGAGTTTTCTAGCAAATGGAATTCCATTTTATGTTTATACATTAACAGGTGGAAAAGTTTTTCGAAAAGCACTTTTTAATGTAATCTATTGTAAAATATTTCATTTTCATTCAGTAAATGACGTTCATCATTAAATAATTCTAATATAAATATATTATCGAGATTTTTTTGCATATGATCATCAGAAAACTATTATCTACTCATTCAGAAAAAAACTAATTGTATCTATGGTATTATAAATCTTCAAACATCGGAATCCATTGTCACATTCGAATAGTCTACAAAATAGAACTAAAAATATATAAATCGATTGTGTATCATCATTTCTTTTTTATTGTTCGAATTTATGAATACATTCTTGTATACTCTATTGATTACAATATTTATGATCATTCCATCATTTTTAATAGTTCATCTAGAGTTGTTTCACTTTTACAACGTTCACTATCAGCACATAGTTCAATAAGACGCAAGTAATAGTCAAGAAAACCTTGTGCCATTTCGTCACTTTTCATATCATGTGCCATAGCAAAGTCTAACTGTTTGTTATCCGCACAAGTGACAAAGATATCGGTTGAAGTACGGTAGGCACTCATATTATTGACGACATGAATACCTTGCAGCTGTACTTCACCTTCGTTGTATTTGCAGGAAAAAGGATATTTACCAATATTCGAAAAGCCAAATTCGGACTGTCGTCCTTCGGGAAAGAGCTGACGAACTTCGTCGAATTCACGTTCATTTCCCAATACATCACCAAAAATATTCATTGTTAATGGGACACCATGCCGCTTCAGTTGATTTTGAGTATTAGTCATGCAGTAGTACGCCAATGACCAAAACTGAGTAGATTGAATAGAAAGTGATCTTTTGAGCTTAACTTCACCTGTGCCTACATAGAAACCAACTGAAGAAGGTGTGAGAGGTGATTGTGGAAGACGCGAACGCATGTTAAACTGAGTTCCAATTCCGAATGGCTTTAATCGAGTATTATTGGCTAATGGAAAACAGTGATGAATGGCCAATAGGAGGCATCCCATGAGTGGACCATTTAATGTCACTCCATGTAGTCGACATTGTGGATGTAGTTTTAAATAGAGACTGGAAGAACTCGAAGCAAATAAAAATCTCATTTTGTATCGCTGAACTGTAAATCTTGTTGATTGACAGTCGTTGAGAGGAATGCTTTTGACAGGAATGCGTGGATGAGTTAGTTGACGTATTTCTCGTTTGAAAATCCGTTTGCCTATGAGTGCTATGATATGATAGAACAAACCATATGGACGAGGAATCAATGGACCAAGCAGTGGAAGTATTTCTGTATTGAGTGGCTCTGATATTTTAAGAGAATTTGAAGTAGTTGCCAAAGTCAAAAATTCATGAATAAGAATAAATCCACTTAGACCATCTGAGACACAATGATTTTGAAAGAGAACTAAATGAAATAATTGATCATCAGACTGTTGTGAATTGTATAAAAGCATAAAATGAAACAATGGAAAGATAACCGTTCCATTGTTTGAATATGGATCTTGATTACATCGGCGTTCGACGATTTCTTGCCAAGACTCATCGGTTATTTCAATAGCTGAGAAAAACAAATCGCTTGATAAATGTTGACTGTCGTATTGAAGATTATCGAGAAAATATTGATTATCATCTGCTCGAAGACGTGTGCGCATGCGAGAATGACGTTTTAAAAGACATTGGAGAGCATTTGAAGCATTGCGGATTAACATCGAATGATTTCCACTCAAATGAGCGGCATGTGCGAGAGTCAACCAGCCGCCATCTATACAGAAATATTTTTCAATGCCTACGAGTGGTAATGTAGAGATCGTCTGATAAGCCATAATTTTGTATTGTGTTTCGTATCCGTGTATATTCTGAAGCCGTCAACAGGCACACAAAATAATAAGTAAGATTGTAGGATGACTTGCTTTTTATTTTCTTTTATCATCACTTATGAGTTAGAAGTAAATAACGATGGTATATCATGGACACTGAAAGAAATGAAAGAATGATTCATTATATTGATAACGTATCTTTTGTTCGTTTAGAAATATAATATGCTACTCTCAACATTCGATAGAGGATGTAGGTGCCAGTGTGCACTTCTTCTTCCATGATAGTCACATGCACAACCTTACATCTCTAGAGCCATTTTTAATCATTCTTTTCTTTCGAAAAATAAAAGTAAACTATGGGATCGCTAATGATGATACATTGTAAAAATAGATGGAGAGCATGTTCAAATTGTTTTTGAGTTATATTTTCTGGATTATATGTTATATGATTCCATTCGAAAAATTGGTAAAAATCTAAATCCAGATATAATTTCCTTATCAGAATCAATTCCAAAATATTTTAAGAGAATATACTTTCTTTCATTTGATTTCACATCACAGACTAGACAATGTCTGTTATTTTTTTAAGTTCATAAGATGACTGAAAGACTTTTTCATCAAGTATTTTTCGATCATTCAGATTACTTATTCCTTCGTCTAATATTTCATAAATTTAATTATCAATTTTATACATTTCATCGTGAGGGTGTGAGTGTAATACTAATATTTTGAACCATACCCTCAAGAACTCAGCTATTACTAGTTTTAACTATTTTATTGCTTAATTAATTATAATCCATTGAATAAGCTTTTCCACACTTCTATCAAAGACGTTGACACTTTTACCACTATTAAAAGGAATGTGCATAGATTATATTGATTAGAGAAACGTTGATAAAAGTTGTTATAAGTAAAGAAGTGAAACCTCTTACAAATTACGAAAAAGCAATATTCATGTCACCACAAATAGGTTAAAATCATTCAATCATGTGAGAAATTATTAGAATTAGGCAATAAAATGTTTATATCAGTTAATTAAATAGTAAAACTAAAAAATGAATTGTTGATCTTAATATTATGTCTCTTTTTCTATATTGTTTTTGTTATCATGATATAACATAAACGTATGCTTTAGAATATCTCATCAAATCTGGAAAATAAATAAAATACATTGATACAATTTTTTCGACGACATTGTTGAGGAAACAGCAGATTCTATCGATGATTTCATCGATTAATTCCAAAACCACTGAATAAAGAAGATGAGATTGTTGGAATGCAACGTATGCACTAACAATCACGTTGAGAGTGAGCAATCGTCCCTTTTGTCGTCAGGAAATTGTTTGACGAGAAGCATTCTCTTCCTCTCATTCAGACTGCAAGAATCTTTCAAACGCATTCAAGGACTAAACTCTATTATCCTATATGAGTTCAAATTGGTATTTCATTCTACTAGTAAAAATTAAGTAAATCATACGATAAAATTCGATTATTGAGATCGAATCAGATTCAACAATAAGAATCTAGATGTTGAATCACATATAAATTCCATTATTCGAATGATTCTCCTTCTAGATATATATGCCTGGAGTAACTTATTGAGCTAAATAGACAAATAAACTAGGAACATATATTTCATCGAGATTAACGGATTTATTTATCATTAAACAATTTTATTTTTCAATAAATCTGTTCTAATAGTTTATTTCTTATCATGTAGATACATGAGTGCTCATACAAAGAAAGAAGCTGAATGACGCTTGCCTTGTATTTCAATTTTAAGAGATGGAAATTGTTTGTGTGACACTTTTTCATGATAATAAACCTGTAGAAAATCGATTATGCAAAGTTTTATTAAAGAAATCATGATATTCGAATATTTTGTGAAAAACAAAATGTTCTCCTCTTGTCTGTTTTTCTGCCAAAATTTAACTTTTTCCCTTTTAAAAACAATCAAGAATTTATGAACATTTCAGATTTAATTGAGACTAAGAACATCACAAACCATTCAATTTTTGTTTTTCTTCTTTTATCGGAGAATATTGAATATTATCATCAACGCTTATCAGAGTATAGTTTATAATGAAACCGTTTACAGACAACGTTCTCTTACAATAAAGGAAAATATCAATGAAATTCTACAACATAATCAATATGTGGATGTGAACATGTTATAATTATTCTTCATCAATATCCACCCTCAAGTCTGTCCTGTGCGTACATGAAGTTTGCGCTCTCTACAGTTTCACGACAGTAATTATAAGTCGCGCTCCTGTGGAATAACTTACTATAATTTTCTTATTTGTGAACATATTTATTTGATAGTTCTAACTAATCGAATATATTAAATAAAGTGACATATAAAAAAAGTTTATTAGAAATATTAGTAATAACAAACACATAATATAGAAAAATAAAAATGTTTAAAGTTAAAGAGATCAATTAACAAGTTTGTAATAAAATCTTCAAATTGTCATCACCATAGTTAGCGACCGCAAAATCCAGTTTTTTATCATTGTTGAAATCACCAACATCAACAGAAATTGGAAAAGATCCATAACTAACCAAATATACTTTTGAATCGGTAAATCGACCACTACCAGATCCAAACAATATAACTACATTGCTAGCACGATAATTAGCGACAATGATATCTAATAAGGCGTCATTATTAAAATCACCAACGGCAACTGAGTAAGGTTCAGCATTAATTCCAGTTGAATATACTGTTTGATTTATAAAAAATCCATTCCCATAACCGAGAAATACACTGATGTTACTATCATTAATATTACTGACAATAATATCTAATCGGCTATCGTTGTTTAAATCAGCAACAGCTAAAGACCATGGACCAGAGCCAGTTGCAAACGTTGTTTGATTTAAAAAAGAATTATTGCCAAATCCAAGAAAAATACCAATATTATTGGTGCCTGAATTCACGACAACAATATCCATGTAAGTGTCACTGTTAAAATCGCCAACGATGAATGATCGTGGAACCGACCTGTTACCAGTTATTAGTGTCGTTTGATATCGAAAATCCTTATTTAAGTATCCAAGAAATATACTTATAGTCTTGTCACCACTATTGGGAACTATGATATCCAATCGAGTGTCGTTGTTAAAATCACCAACAGCTACAGAGTATGGCCCATAGCCACTTGAATAGGTATTTTGATTTGCGAAAGAACCATTGCCATGTCCGAGAAGTACACTTACAGTGTTGCCACGACCATTAGCAACGACGATATCCAGTTGAATGTCATTGTTGAAATCACCAACAG